TATGTAGACAGCTAGGTGGTGCAGTGGATAGATCACCAGGCCTCTAGTCAGGAAGACTCCTCTTCCTGTGTTCAAGCTGTGTGACCCTGGGCAAGTCATTTAACCCTATTTGCCTCAGTTTCCTCATCTGTAAAATGAGTTGGAGAAGGAAATGGAGAACCACTCCAGTATCTTTGCCAAGAAAACCCCAAAAGGGGTCATGAAGAGTCAGACATGATGGAAAACAACTGAAGAAGAACAACATTTTTGCTCATACTGTTCTCCCTGTCTCTAATCCTCCATGTCTTACAGGGGTCACATGAATATCTCTACCTCTTGAAATCCAAACCATTTTTCAAAGCCCAGCTTAGAAGCCTTCTCTTTAAGGAGGATTAAACCTTCTATGACTTTTTGTTTCTGTCTCCCTCACCTAAAGCTGTAATCTCTCTTCAGATCTTTTGTAGCACTTTATTTGTGCCACTTCTATGCACTTAATTTTTTTAAAAAATATTATGGTTATTTGTGTCATACCCCACTAAATTGCATATTTTTAAGGGCATCTAAGGTTCTAGGAGAACACTGTAGGCATTTAATAAATGTTGATATATATGCACATCTGTGCATAGCTATAATTATGCTTATCTTTCCATAGATGAAAGAAGAAACCTTTGTATTTATTCATGTGTGTATATATGTATCAGTCACATGCATGTATGCATATTTATTTCTTTTGTCCTATTTCTATGATTAAATCACAGGCTCTGATCTTTGAAGGTAATTTCCATTTCTAACTTTCCTGGTGGCAATTTTAACATTAGTGCTTGACTAAATAAAGAAATAAAGAATCAATAGAGAAAACAAATGTTCTTTTAGGTCGTGAGCAGTTCTCTGGCTCAGGAAATGGAGTTAGCTGAGATTAGAAACTAATTCTATCATTTTCAAAGCATCACGAAATACCAGCTCTGGCAACCTTTACATCTTAAATGTTTTCACATCCTCAACAACTCCCTTGAAGGCTATATACGTGAAAAACCAACAAAAGAAGACCTTGAACTTTTCTGCCATCTACTGGCAGTTTACTGTGTCTGACATTGTTTAATAGGAGTTTGATTATAAGAAAAAGGCATGATGAAGATAACTTAAAGGAATCTGGATTTGGTGCTTTTCAAAAATATGTAACTATTTTGTCCTATGGAGTTGTCTGGAAAATTACATGATGAAAAATTGCAATGTTAATTTAAAAAAGAGAATCTGAGCCACATGGGTGCTAATTAGACCTATAGGCACCATTTATTACTCCAAGAATTATAAAATAATGAGATTCTCATTGTAATTGTTGGTAAAATGCTCCTGTCACTGACCAGCTTTCTGGTTAACTGTTCTTCTTGCCAAAATTGATTGGTCACATCTAATTTTGGGGATTATGTTGTCATATATTAAAAAAGCTGAATGCCATCCAGCTGTTATTCAGAACCTTTTCTACTTCATCAAAATGCATTTAAATAAAGGCCTACTCTGGGTTTATCATAGTGCAAGGCACTATAGAGAATTGAGGAGAAATATGACATGATTTCTTCCCTAAAAGAATTTACAATTTAGTTGGGAAGATAAGATATGAAAAATAGTAAATAATATCATGCAGTATTATATATATAAGAAAGGAAGTATATACTTAATTACTACAAGTATAGTAGTAATTCAAAAGAGATGGAAATTGATGAGAGATGGGGGAAGTCAGGGAAGACTTCATGGAAGAGGTATGATTTGAAAGTTGCCCAAGTCCTGGATTGCAGCTAATTGGCCGTGTGACCTTGGGCAAATCGTTTAGCTTTTTTAGACCTTTGTTTCTTCATCTGTAAAATGAGCAAATTAGAATGGATCATCTCTTGAGGCCCTTATAACTTTAGCATTCTATGGTGCTGTGACTTGCTGAATGGAGGTAGATAAAGGGAGTCACTGGATTATTTCTGAGTTGAAGCCGGGGTGATATGACAAAAGTCATATTTAAGAAAGTTCAACATAGTCGAAGTAAGCAAAATGGAAACTGGCTAAAAAGTTTTTGCTATAATCTGGGTGTGAGGTTATGAGGGCCTGAATTGGGAGGTTGGCCAAAGAAATGGACAGAAAGGAACATACTCAAAAGTTTTGACAGAAAATTTATTAGGACCTGGTGAATAAATATGGTGGATGAAGGAGAGGATTGTGTTACAAATGAGTTTTAGAATTAGAGAATCTTAGAGTTGGGGTCAGCTAGGTGGCGCAATGGTAGAGCACAGGCCTGAGTTCAAATCTGGTCTCAGACCAGTCACTTGACACTTACTAGCTGTGTGACCCTGGGCAAGTCACTTAACTCCAATTGCCTAAAAAGGAAAAAAAAAAAAAGAAAAAAGAAAAAAAGAGAATCTTGGAAGGATCATCAGAGGTCATTTAGGACAGCTTTTCACTCTACGCATGAATCTCATCTACAATATCCCAATAAGGTCAACAGCCTTAGTTTGAAAATATCTATTAACTGGAAACTCACTATCTTCCGTTGTGACCAGTTCTAATTTTAGAAAGTTCTAATTATGGGAAAGTTCCTTCTTGAACAAAATGTGTCGCCTTATAATTTCTAAAGATTGGTCTTAATATTGATCCTGCCAAACACAAACAAAAACCCCCAAAATAGTGTTTTCCTATCACTTCCAGATCAAATATAAATTATTTTTATTTGATATTCGAAGTTCTTCATAACCTGACCCCCTTCTTACCTTCGCTGTCTTCTTATAATTTAACTTTCCCAATTCTTTGACCCAGTGACCAAGTGATTGAGTCCTCAGTTCATCTTTTGAATCTGGCCATTTTCTCTGGCTATCCTCCTTGCTTGGAATTCTCTCCCTCATCTCTACTTCTGGCTTCAAGTCCCAGCTAAAATCCCAACTTCTACAGGAAATCTTTCCCAAACCTCCTTAATTCCAGTGCCCTCTCTCTGTTGATTATCTCTGATTTATGTTGTATATATCAGTCGTACCTAGCTTTTTGAACCTAGTTGTCTCCCCATTAGACTGTGAGCTTCTTGAGAGAAGGGACTTTTTGCATTTCTTCATGTACCTTGGAGTTCAGCACAGTGCCTGGAATATAGCAGGCATTTAATATTTGATGGACTAGTCGCAAAATGGAGTTGCTCATACTAAGTGAACTTATTCCCACTTAAAGGACTTAGGTCAACTCTTAACTTTACTACGATTTTTTCCCTACTCTGTGCTTGGTTCTCCTTACTCCTTCTCTAATCCACTGTAGCCCGAGCCAATCAAATCATCTCCCCCTATGCAGACTTACTTATCCTTAGACAGATGTGAATGGGTCAATAAAGGCCCAGAAAAGGTCCTCAATCCTCCCAAAAGGTGCTAAAGGCATGTCTAGTAGTTTCATCAAATTAATTAGGCTCCTCTGATCAACCCTTTACCCAAGAAAGGGCAGATACTTCAAAGAACAATGTCAAAAGATTTTTCAGAATTCTTTGAACTTGATTTCCATGGAAAATAATTTAGTATCTTTTTCTGAAAATAACCATACTCGAGAATTTGTCCTTTTTTCTAAGCACTTCCAGGGAATAGATATCAACTTTATACACCTTACTTAAAAAAAAAAAATCTTCAAAAATGCAAAAAAAAAAAAAGTACCACTTCACATCCATCACATTGGCAATGATAGAAAAATGACAAATGCTGGAGATTTGGGAAAATAGGCACACTAATGCACTGTTGCTGGAGTGTGAACTTCCAACCATTTTGAAAACCAATTTGGAACTAGTCTCAAAAGATATTAAACTGTGCATAGCCTTTGCCCCAGCAATACTACTACTATGTCTGTACCCTAAAGAGATTAGAATAAAAGGACCTATATGTACAAAGTTATTTTTAGCAGCTCTTTTTGTTGTGTTAAAGAATTGGAAACTGAGAGGACACCCATCATATGGGGAATGGCTGAATAAGTTATGGTATATGATTGTGGAATAGGAATGCTATTGTATTGTAAGAAATGATAAAGGGGATAGAAAAACCTGGGAAGATTTATCTGAAATGATGCAATGAAGTGAGCAGAACCAGGAAAACAATTTACACAGCAACAGCAATATTATAATCAACTGAAAGACTAATAACTCTGATCAATGTAATGACCCACCACAGTTCCAAAGGACTCATAATGAAAAATACTATCCACCTTCAGGGAGAACTGATGGATTTTAAAGTGAAAAAGCATATTTTTTCCCTCTTTTTCTTGACCCCCCAAATACGGTTTGGTTAATACAGAAATTTGTTTTGTATAACTTCATATTCGTAATAGGTTTTTATTTCTTGTCTGTGGGTGGGGGAAGCGGGATGGGATGGAGAAAATTTGGAACTGAAAATAAAATTGAATAAAAAATGTTAATTGGGAAAAGTTTAAGAAAATAAAATACAGTAAAAAACAATAAAATGCAAAAAGTTATTTACACAAAAACATTATTTTATTTTTATCATAATCACACATTTTTGAAACAAAAGCATATAAAAAGACCAAAAAATTCTGGGAAACTGGGAATGGGTTAATATCAACTACAACAAAAAGTCAATTATTTAATTTTACCTAGATGCATTGTTTCAAATTCAGCCTGTGGTGGATAATTAATAACTAAGGAAAACAATATGAGCTACACGATTTATTAGCAATCATTCAATTCCCACAGCCACTGTAACAGAATGAAGTCTGGTTCATAGGAATAAGTGTAATTTCAGGTATCTTAAGTACTAACTTAAGAGGCTGACCACAGAAATAGCATTTCCCACCAATGACTGATACTGCTACGAGGAAAGAGTACATAAGTACACACAAGTATACACTTCTGGAAGTGAAAAAATCTTTAGCTCTATCAGTTCTTGGAAAGTCTATTATAACATTGGCGATCATTGTTTTTTTTGAATTAGCAATAAGCAGTCCTGAGATACAAATGTAGTAGCTTTTAAGAATCTATAGCTTAGCCCTATAGAATTTTAGGAATAGTACTACTGGCATATGCTAATAGGCCAATCAATGATGCTTTTTTTTTTTCTGTTAGCTTCCCCATAAATCACTGGAACAGCAACCAATCTGAGTACAAAATTTATTACCATAACTGTGGGTTACAGATTTCCTATGTGTATAGTCCCTTGCAGGACTCCAAGAATGTACAGTATATCTAATTTTAAAAATTCTTCTGTAGCCCCATCAGTGCTAAAGGTTTGATAGATTCAATAAATACTAAATGAATCAATTAATTCTTTAGGTATTCCAGATTCAGAAGTGCTGAAATAACGAGTTAGTTGTGCAAGCTTCTATCTTAGAAATGAAAAACATATTTACCATAAATGAAAGTCACCCACTATGGTTCTGATCATTTATTCAAATTGTCACTGTTAAATGAATATCAATAGTGATGACTGCCCTGAAGTTACTGAACAGCTATATGTACACATAGATGCTTGATTTCCAGAGAATGTAATTTAGTAATCATGCCTGGAAGGCATAGAATGAGGTCATAATTAAAGGGAAAAATTTTTAATAAACAATCAGAAAAAATAAAACAGTTGTGGTTCTTTGGGTATATTATAGTTGCGAGAGAATTTCCTTAAGTTGCCTCCTTTCTACTTATTACCAATGTCATTATGAACAAGTTAACTTCTTATTTATCTGTAAAACTGCTTCACAGGGTTTTCCTGATTATCAGATGAGAATGTATGTCAAATACTTTGTCAACTGTTAAGCACAAATGTTATTATTATTTCTGAGGAAACACCTTTGGAATTAGGGAGTGAAAACAGGATAGGGCTAAAATAGTAAAGCAAAAGTTTAAAACAATAATAACTGCCATGTATATAGTACTTTGGAATTTGAAAACGTTTTTATATACGTGATCTCATTTGAGCATCACAAGTGTGTTGTAGGTAGTAAAGCACTTTATAGATGAGGAAGGTAGGAATAACCTCATAGAGGTTAAGTGACTTGCTGGTGGTCACGTAGCTAAGGAGCATCACAGAGGCAAGATTTGAACCCAAGTCTTCCTGACTCCAAGTTCAACACTTTCAATTATACTGATCCTGAAACTATGTTGAGATGTTTCCTGATAGTGTCAGAACAGCTGAAGACAATAAAATCAGTGTTTTATCATTCCATATAATCTTATATTGGAGACGTAGATCCTACTCACACTGTATTTGGCGTTAACTATTTTAAAAAAAAAGGTGCTTTTGATCTCAGATAGTTTAGTGGTTATACTCTTTCTTCTTGTTTATCCACTTAATTTTCTTATAAAAATAATCTCAATTATTGTTATCAGTAATGCTAATCTTAAAAAACACTATTTTCTGACAGAAAATTAATAGCCAATGTAAAATTAGTTGTAATACCATCGTAAGCAGGAGGAAAACAAACCTGGAAAGTGATTTTTGCAACGCAAACAATGAAATGTCCGACAAAATGGGACTATGGAGTATTGGAAATACTCTATAGTATAAAACAATAGCATAAAGTATTCAATGGGTAAATGTACAAATCTAGGAAATGCTTCAAATTCCAATGCATACATTATAATTAAAGTTTGTTTTAAGATATAAAATAAACTTAAAAACGCATGTATATTTTGAACACCTGATTAAGGAAATTATTTAGCAACAGTTCCATGGCCAAACTAGTAATATAATTTCTCTTGGATGTTTGGATCATAAAACAACCCATGAAATCATTTTGCCTTTGGGAGATGAGTGAATTTTTCATGCACACTATTTTTCCCAAGTGAGAAAAAAAATTCCTTATCCTTTAGAAGGATGGAGATGAAATAATTCAGGATCTCTTCACTTTAAAGACCCTGGTTATTAAATAGCATGATCTCATGAAAATGGCATTTCTGCATATTTAAAGTCATGCTGAGTAGTTTTTCATATGGAGTTTACGGGTAGGGATAGAGTTCTGAAGAATAGAGCGTGCTTGAAAAAAATCACAAAACTCCATCTGAACCCAGTTTTAAACTTTTGATCACAAGATTAAAGGGAACCCCTTTGTGTATTTCTGGAATAATGCACGTGGAGCAGAGTCCAATCTCATGTCGGGAGCTCCCCTACCACAAAAATTGAAGCCTTCTGCACCAAATATGTACAGAATTCAGGCAGCACAATCATTAGTCCAAAATAATGTTCATTTATTCCTGCTATGAGTGTGGTAACATTCTAAGTATGAAGCCTTCTGATGTCACAGGTTCTGTTTTCTTTATATTTGCTCCATCTTCAAGTTCACTCATAGTTCATCCTATTAAAACAAAGGACAGATAAGCAGAAAGGAAAATTTATAATGTAAAAAGCAATTAGGCTAGAATAAATAATTCAACATTTAAACTTTCAAAATTCTTCCCCAATGCTAAATAGAAATACATCATCAGTTGTGAAATTATAGAATTTCAGACTGTTAATGGAACCATCCATTTCCCCTTAATTCAAATCCTTGTACTGTCTTATACTTGATAGAGTACATTTATATTTAATATGGTACATGTATGGTCTTATAATACATTTTGAGACAACTGTAATCAAACTTCCACTGAAGTCCTATTCTTGTGCCCAGTATGGCATGAAGATGACCAGAGAACACACTGAAACAGGTCCTATAGAGCTGGAAAGGCTGAAGGTATGGGTGGCCCACTTTTCCACTGTGCACAGAAGAACATAGTTTTGAGAAGCACATCATTAGCTTAGCCCCAGGATGATGAATTTTTTGGCCACATTAACTCTAAAAAACTATCTACAAAATTAATTATAAAGTGACCTATCAAAAAAAGGAAAATGCCTGCAAAGATGAATCACAAGTCCCTAATAAAATAATCAAGTAACACTATGAAGATGGAAGGAAAGTACTTTCTTGACCACTGAAACCATGGAGATTTAACTTATAACCACCACCCCATCTTTCAGATTTAGAATGATATATAATGCTGGTACTTGGTCATAAAATCTATTTCAAAGTCTACATTCAATATAGGTAAAAAATGAACTGTTTCATGAAGGAAAGAAACTAGAAATGATATTGCTTGATGAAATGCAAAACAAATAGGGGCAGTGAGATGTACAATACAGACCCGTGATAAAGTTTTGTAATTACAATATCATACAGTGGGAGATAAATGCACTACAGTTAAACTGGTTTTATATATGAGCAAAGAATGAACAGTTAATGGTTGAGAGCTATAATTTTTTTTCATGACGTTTTAAGATCACTTTCTCAGTATTTTAAAATATAAAATATTTTGATTATGGTATACTCAAATGGAAATTCTACAGTACTTTGGTATTTCAGATAGTTTTGCTTATTTTACTATGGATCTTGTGTAACATTTAGTAAAATTTCTTACAGATGACAACTTTTAGGTAATTGCATTTATTTCTTACCTTGTTTCTAGATTTCTCCCTCTGTGTTTTACTCTGCAGAGCTTTCAATTTTTCATCTAATAGGTCAGCAATACTTTTTGCATCTCTGACATCTATCTGCTTGCCAAGAATATTTTTCTAAAATTGAAAGAAAATTACTTAATTATTATCTTTTCTTAACTACTCAATGAATGTAACATTTAGGGCCAAAAGGTAGAGTAGTTGCCAAAATGTGTGTATTTTAAAAGTTTGTTTCTTAGTCAATTTTTTTGAAATAAGAAAATATTTACCCATAAAAACAATGTTATAAATGGTAGTAAGGTCCTCAGGAAAGCCCACAAAAGGCCTATATTTAAACTTCCTGTCAAGATAGCTTCCTAAAAAGAAAGGTGATTACCCAGATCACATATACCTTACTCTAGCAAAATTATTTATTCTGAAGTTCACATTAGACCACATAATGATTAGAAATCCAATGAGAAACCAGAGTGAATTATTTCTTCCATCAATTCAATTCAATAAATATTAATTAAGTGCCTGCTATATGCCATGCGCTATGCTATGCCCCCAAAATACAAAAAGAGGCAAAAAACAATCCCTGCCCTCATGAAGCATACAGTCTAATGGGAGACACAACATATAAACACATACTGTAAATACAAACCAAGCTATATACAGGATAAATAGGAAATAATTAACAGAGCAAAAGCATTGGAAATTGGCTGCAAAACTACATTCTCCTACCTAATCCAAATCAAGAGGCCCTTAAGGACACCAATGACTGATACCCATCATCTAGAAGATCAACACACTGTGAACCTCAATGCTGCAACCAAATATTCAAATATTTTCCAACAAAATGCAGATAGAACAAAGTCATTAAAAGGTTAGCTAACTTTAAAACTAACAAATAGTTTTCATTTTTTGAAATAACATATTAAGTAAACATAATTGAAGTTTCTTGAACACAGCCTTATTTGATTACAGATAATATTAATGCAGCCTTCCAAAATGAAAAGGTTCCTTACCCCTGTAATAGAGTTTACTGAATAAGGGAGTGATACAATTAGACTTGTGTTTTAGGAAAATCATATTACTGAATAAAAAGTCAGCCAGAATAGGATAGGGAGGGCCCTCTAAGGAAGGGAAGTTCTCCAGCAAAGAAAGTACAAATACAGCCAGACACAAAATACCCATGTGACCCTACAAGGCTGTGTTCAGAAGCAGCAAGAGAGGAGGGCTCCCTTGAGAAGTTTCTAGGGTGGTCAGAAAACTTTATGCTATACACTTTGGAAGTCCTAAGGAACTGTAACAATGTGGTGCTTCAGTGCTCAGATCCAGAATGTCATAGCCCAGGCTCAAGGATTTTGAGGTCCCTAATATTCTACCTCGACATGGCAGAGAGAGGAGCCAGTACTCTGAACCGTGACGATCCGGGCAGGGGAGAGGGGGTAGGTAAACCCTTCCTAGGAGGTAGGCAGCAGTGTGAAGAAGCAGGAGATTCAGGGTAACACCAAGCAGGGATGGTCACCACACCCAATAGTATAGTGGGTGTAAGTACGGAAGGGTGCGTGCGTGCGTGTGCGTGCGTGTGTATCCTGGTCCTGGCACAAAGCCCGGATTAAGGAACTAAAACATAGGGATGAAAATATCAAAGATAACATCAAACATTCACCATTAAAAAAATATCGCTCTGAACGTAAGCAGAAACTCAAAGGGAAAAAAGAAATTCCCTAAGTACTACACGAATACCTAGAAGAAATAAAGAGATTAAAAAATGAAATTAAATTTTTGAGGAAAGAATTGGAAGGTGAATAAATAGCTTAGAAGAGTAAGTGGTAAAACCTTACCCAAGAAATGGACTCCCTGAAAATGAGTATAGACCAAATAGAAATCGACTCCATTATAGAGCAAGAATAGAATAAAATTAAAAGATTATAAAAGTAAGGTGATATAAAAAACAACTGACCTGGAAAATAGGTCAAGGAGAGATAATTTAATTGGACTCCCTAAAAATCATGATTAAAAAAAAAGTCTGGAAACTATATTTCAAGAAAGCATAAATGCAAATGTCCAGATATCTTAAAACCAGAAGCCAAAGTAAAGATAGACTGTACTAAATCACCTCTTGAAAGTAATCTCAGAAGGAAAAGTCCTAAGAATGGCATAGCCAAAATCCAGAGTTTCCAAGTCAAAGAAAAAAAATACTGTAAACATCTAGAAAAAAAGAACTCAAGTACCAAGGAGATATACACAAGACCTACCAGCTTCTACCATGAGTGTGATGGGCTTGGAGTACTATATTCCAAAAAGCAAGAGATAGATTTACAACAAGAATAACTTATCCTGAAAGCCAAGTATAATACTACAGGAAGAAAAATGGATCTTTAATGGAACAGAGGACTTTCAGGCATTTCTAATGAAAAGACCAGAGCTGAATAGCAAGTTTGGAATACAAACACAGGAGTTGAGAGGAATCTAAAAAGGTACATTTATTTGAACCACTGGAAGGAGTTGTATGATGATGGAGAGCTAACATTTTAACAGATGAAGAAGCAAGTGTCCAAAACCTTAATGTTTTAAAATGGTACTGAGGGAGTCAAAAAAGAAAAACAAGACTTCAGGGTACACTGATTCTTTTTTGAGAGTTTGAAGAGGGTAAAAGTAATGACTAGAATAGGAGGAAGAAAAGAGTGGAATATACTATTTCTTGTAATTGGGACATAAATGAAGAAGAGTATGCAAACAAGGAGAAAGAAGCAGGGGAAGTGGGCAGCAGATGAACCTCACTCTTATCTGGAATGGACAAAGAAAGGCTGAATATACACACACACATACACACATACACACATACACACACACACACACACACACACACACACCATTTTATATAGAAACATCAAACTCTACAAGAAAAAACATGGGGATAGCGGAGGGACATAAGAGGGAGGACAATAATGAGAGAAAAAAGAGCTGTAAAGAAAACACACTTTGTGATCCTGAAGGGGAGATTAAAAGGGAAAAAGATTCCTTAGATCGTTGCTTAGACAATGATTATGCAGGGCTAACATTCTAATGGGAAAATGGAACAAGTGTTTCTTACAGTGATGAAATCACATATCTGGTTTAAAAAAGCAGCACAAATCTACTGATTTCTACACCAAGAATGATCAACTGGTGAATGGCTTCACAAATTGTTACACACGTATACGAAAAAAATGGAATATGATTACACTCCAAAATATGATAAAAAGAGACAATTTCAGAAAATCTTGGGCAGTATGAACTAATGCAGAGTGAAGTGGGAAGAACAGAACCAGGAGAACAATTTATATAAAGACAACAGCATCTTAATGAAAAACAACTGTGAAAAATAATTCAGAAGGAAGCATATGTAGTAGGGCAGTTTTAAAAGTAATATATGAATTTTTTTTAAAAGGAAGTGGTATGAAATGGAGATTCATGGTTTTATAGATGATCCTCTTTTTGCATTTTGTATGTACAGAAATACTCTTTTTTAGGTTTTTAAGTTCAGACTAAAACATAATTAAAATAACAGTTATATTTACTATTTGCCATTTTAAATATGGGAACAGCCCACTGAAAGTAGTTAGTATGAAACAAGATCTGAACACAAGGTCTCTGAATCCAGAGTCAATGCTCTTATTAAACAGATGCAGAAGAAGAGGAAGATGTCAATTTGAGGTCATCAGTGGCTATAGAGGAGTAAAGAACAAACAAGGTTAGAGCAGGCACACGGGCTAGGATAACAGATAGAATTGATACAGGTGCACTAATTATAGGTTGGTCAATGAACTGTAGTGGAACCTCCAGACTTATTCTCATACCCCTCAGAATTAACTATAGGCAATGGAGTTAGGAAGCAATATATTTTTTTTTTTTTGGGCAGGGGTGGAAGGGGTGCAGAGAGGGGTGGTGGGAGTGGGGAAGAGTATAGGAGACAAGGAAAGGGAACTTCAAATTTTGCCTTTCAAAGCCAAAGAGAAATGAATTATTAAATTATCTGTTAAGTACAGAATTCATTCTATCTGCAAAGCTGGCTTAAGCAAAGCTTGAATAAAATAGGTCAGGTGGCATAATCCTACAAGGCATTCACCCACTCTTGTTACTAGTTTTTCTTCCTTTATTCTTTTTTTTTTTCCTTTTGGTGAGGCAATTGGGGTTAAGTGACTTGCCCAGAGTCACACAGCTAGTGACTGTTGTGTCTGAGGCTAGATTTGTACGCAGGTCCTCCAGACTATAGAGCCGGTGCTCTATTCACTGCGCCACCTAGCTGCCTCTTGCTTCTAATTTTTAACCAAGTGCATGCATGTATTTTGTTGAGGTTGGGGAAGAGGATGTAAAAGGTATTTATAAATTAGGAAATATATATCAGAACTCTTATCTGATTGAAAAGATCTAGGTATTTGTCAAATCTAGATTAAATAAAACCAATTTTGTATATTTTATCGTAAACTTTCTAAAAATTAAGAGCTTAGAATAAAATTCCTATAAAATAAAAATATCTTAGATTAATAAGACTAGATGCAATTTAAATTTATTAATTCGAATATACAACTTAAATGATTTTAATGTTAAGATTCATGTTCTGCTTAGTAAAGTGTTACTGAGAAAAGTACAATTTCAGCCTGTTTTTCTCTTTAAGAATTATATATTCTAAATAGAAGGAATTCTTAAAGAGCACCTACTTAGCTAAATTTCACGACTTAGTTTATCAGAATTAACGTGTTCAAAACCCCTTGATTTTTCACATTGGAAGATGAGAGAAAAACATAGCAGTCAGTATATAAACTTGCTATTCAGAAAGGCATCATGCTTTTTAGTGTCAAAAATGATGTGGGTCTTACAATTTTGAACTTAAGTCTTATAAATTATGTTGTCCCCATTTCTATAAATTTTAAGATCTCTAAATAAGCAGGTTACTATTGCTTTTAATATAGGATTTCTGAGTTACCTAATGAAATGTTTAAAAAAAAATTTCCCCAAGGGGCAGTATTTGTTATCAGCTCCTATGGATTTAATTACTATCTCTATGCTGATGTTTCTCAAATCTACCCATCCTGCCCCAATGTCTCTGCTGACCTGTAATCTCACATCTCCAACTCCCTCTCAGACATCTCAAAAAGGATGTGCAGTAGACATCTTAAGCTATACCCAAAATGGAAATCATCATCTTTCCTAAATCCTTCCACCCCTTATTCTGAGTCCCTCAGGCTCACAACCTAGGAGTCATCCTCAATTCCTATCACTCTCTCCCCCACTCCCAATATAATCTGTTGTGAAAGCCTGTCAATTTCACCTCTGCAATATCTCTTGCAAGTGCCCCCTTCTTTCCTCTCATAGTGCCATCATGCTGGTACAGGCCCTCATCAACTCATGCCTAGGTCACTGCAGTAACCTGCTAGTGAGTCTGTTTGCCTCAGTCTCTCCCCACTCCAATCCATCCTCCATTTCTCCACTAAAGTGATTTTCCTAAAGAGCAGGTCCAACCATGTCACCCCACTACTCAATAAACTCCAGTGGCTCCTATCACCTCCAGGAACAAATACAAAATCCTTCAGCATTCAAAGCCCTTTATAACCTACCCCCACTCTTCCCTTTCCAGCCTTCTTACACTTTATTTCCTGCCATGAACTCTTTGATATAGCAACACTGGTCTCCTGGATTTTCTGGGCATTTTCTCTGGCTATCCATGATGCCTGGAATGTTCTCCCCACCTCATTTCTGCCCATTTGCTTCCCCAGCTTCCTTCAAGTCCTAACTAAAATCCTATCTTTTACAGGAAACCTATCCCAACCTCTCTTAATTCTAGCATCTCCTCTCTTTAAATTATTTCTATTCATCTTGCCTATAGCTTATTTATACATATTTGTTTGTTTGTTGTCTCTCCCATTAGATTGTGAGTTTCTTAAGGGCAGGGACTGTCTTTTCCCTCTTTCTGTATCCCTAATAGTTAGTACAGGTACATAGGAGGTGCTTAATAAATAGTTTACTGCCTTACTGAAATGCTCCAAAAGATTATAGAGACAGAAATCTAGAGAATGGGAGTGACCCAGGCTTTTTAAAAGGCCCAAATAACATTTCTGAATCTAAATAATTCAAAGAGGGTTGAGATACTATACTTACCTTGTTTCCTTGGTAGGGATAAAATTTAACAGTAGGATAAGCTCTGATGCCAGCAGTCTGGCAAGTATAAGCATGAGCCTGACAGTCTACTTTTCCAGCTTTCACTTTTCCTTTAATAGTCTAAACAGGGGAGAAAAAAAGTTTACTATGCTTCATACCAGCAATATCTATTTAGATATGTTTCATCCAGGTACCTACCATTACAAGCAATGAGAATCAAAACTTAAGTTTTCTATATCAAAAGATCAGAAAAGAAAAACAATTTTACTTGCTTTCTTCTAGACCCCTCTGCCCTTACCCCCGCCCATTTAAATAAGAGATCTTAGAAGGGAAACTCTAAAAGGCCTGCACTATGTTTCACACCCTTTTCCTGGAATTTTCATAAAATAATTGTATTACAAAAAGCAATTATACTAAGTGTATATATTTAATCAATAGATACCTTCTGTGTGATGACTAAGGGGGGGGAATAATTTAAGAATGCTAGTGAAGAAGTGGAGGAATATTAGAGCTATAGAGGAAAAAGGGATACTAAGAAAAAAGAAAAATTAACCGCAAAAGTCATGGTATTCTCCCATGAGAAAAAATGGTTACTAAAATTAAAAAATTTGGTTACATATTCAGTGACTTTAGAAATAGCAATATAAATAGTACAAAGTCCTATTAACCTTAGATAGATATAAATAATAAAGAAATTATTTTCTGTATTTATTAGAAAGATGAATACATTTCTCTTGTAGGGAAGAAACATAGTTTCTCTGAATTCAAAGAAAGATTTCAGAAAAGTCACTTCAAATAATTTTTTCTTTTAGCATTTAACATTAAGAAAGCAAACCAAAGAGGAGATCTATGACTATTTACATAACGGTTTTAACAGATATCACAAATTAGTGAAGAAGTTGAGTAACACTTACCCTAGCCAAAAGCTCAAATTCTGGGGCAAAATTTCTGCAAGGTCCACACCAAGGAGCATAGAAATCAACTACCCAATGATCTTTCCCTTCTAACACTTTGTCATTGAAAGTCTGCGGTGTAAGCTCTATGGACACCTGAGGCAAATATCTGTGGCAAGCCATCAAAAGCATTTTCCACCATATAAAAATAAGGAAAACATTTAAAATGTAATAATGTAAGCCAACCTATAATCTTCAAAACACTTTAACATAACATTATCTTCTATTATACTGTTCATAAAATATTTTATAATTTGAGTCTAACAATAACCCTATGAGATAGGGAGGGCAGAAATTATCATCTCCATTTAAACATTCCCTTATTTTCATAAGTTAAAAATGCTATCAACTTTTTACTGGACACTTTTAATAAACCTAACATAGCATATCATAGTGACAACACACACTAAGCAATACCAATAAACTATAAAAATAAGAGAAAGACATGCAGTTCTTAAACATCTGATTTTACTCACTCTAGAGCCCAGGTTCTTAGAGAATATGCATCTCTATCCCATCCATTGTAAGAACTATAAGAGATGAAACAACATGTCATGTTTACTGGTATCCTATATACATTTAAAAGTTACACAAAAGCATTGTCAAAGCTCATTGTTAAGTAATGTGAGCTATTATTTAGGAAATAATTTGTTTTAAAAAATAACTATCAGTTAACTTCCCCTATTACCTTACTATACCATCTGTGGAAAATAGTCACTGCTTTAATAGTGCCATCTGTATTTATAGATTTGCTTTTTTTCAGTCTTAGAATAACCTGCATTTCTGTTCAAAGTTAGCCCCAACCATTCTGTTTCAGATAGCCACAAATCAGTAGACCAATGGTCCTACAGCAAAGGATTCTATATCACTCTAAATCAGCAGATCTCAAAATGTTTGAGTCTCAGAAGTCTTTTTACATGCTTAAAAATTACTGAGAATCAGACTCCCCTCACCCCACCCTGAGTTTTTGTTTATGAGTGTTATAATTATCCATATTTATGGTATTAGAAATGAAAATATTTCAGTATTATGAAAATATTTTTGACTTTGCAGACCACCTGAGAGAGTCTCAGGCACTTCCAGAAGTCCTGAAACCACACTTTGAGAACTGCTTTTCTAAATAACTTTGTAAATTAAACTACACCTCAAAGAAGAATTCATCATCTATAAGACTCTTTTTAGCCACTTAGTTCTGGATAAACACAAACTATTGGATGTCTTTAATGACCAGAAGACTACATGTATTTAAAACCTATTATATAAATGCTAGATATTATTATTATTGTTGTTATTGTGGTATAGTAGTGACCCTGAATTCTTGAAGACCAATGTGGTAGCATGCAAGCTTCTGCAGGTCAAACATAGATCAAGTTGGAAAGGCTCAAATTGATGTTGATTATCTTTTGTGTATTCAGAGAGGCCCCAGATGAGCTTAATGGCAAAACATATTTTGGCCACAGTTAAGTCTTGAAGGCCCTTTAATAATTCAACAGCGTAGTAATCTGAAATCTTAAAATGTTCTGAAACCATGTATTACGGCTGGTTACTTCACTTATCCTCATGGTAGCTCTATGGGGATGGTGAGCAGAATAGTTTATGTCAGCTCACTGAGGGCCTCTAAAATCTTTTGTTACTTGTATGTCATAACATTACATACTGTTAGTAATTTATGTATAAAATGACAGCATTAGATAAGATGGCTAAAAGCTATCATCTTATGATTTCCTGTTAATTAACTGTCCCCTATACTTGTCCTGGAAACAAAAGACTGATAAGCTACCATAAAAGGGTAGCATTTTCATACATACTAAGTTTTGTAAGATATTTATTCTGAATTCAGAAGCGCTAATCCTATTGTTGCACAGAAAGCAGAACAGGATAAAAACTGCATTATTGATTACTAGAGTGAAAATGATGGTGTCTAGAGCTTTCATGGTGTTGAAGATAAAACAGATTTTATACTATAATGAAAGCCTTTATAATAACCACAACATCGCTGTATGTCATCACTGACCTAACATAGTAAATAATGAGATCTAATGCTTTTACATGTTAACTATATAGATTCATGTTATAAATAAGTCTTCAAGTTTGAAAAAAATACTTACTAATATTGATAAGCTGTGTTTGATTTTGGAGGGTAAAGTCTTATATCAGGATATTTCTTGACTTGTTCTTCGCTACAAAAGGAATAATACTTTTGGCAGTCTACACTGCCAACACTGATAAGACCATTTAACAACTACAAGGGAAAAATAAGAGATCATAAATAAACAAAAAACTGAAAAGTGATTAGAAGGAAAAAACTGCTATAAATTTTCTTCTAAATATTTTTAAACTAGAGAAATCAATTAAGAGAAATTAACCTATGATTCAAGTATTTAGAAAACAACTCAAATTTAAAACAAATTTAAGCAATCCTACAAAGAAATTAAAAATAGCGCTCTCACAAGGGCCTTACACCATTCAAGCCTGACAAATAAATATAGTCAAAATGAAAGATCTCTGAAATTTTGTTTTCTGATTTTTGATGGGTATCATCTCTCAGAATTATTTCATATTAACTGCTTCATTTAAATCCATCTTTTACAAGAAAACAAATTAAGTATTTTTTTATTCAAATAAGAAAACCTAATACAATGAAAGCTTTTTCAATGCTGACCCAAATAGTCAAACTTGCTCAAAAATTTAAAACATAAAAAAATGTCCTGAAAAGACAAAGTAGAGGTGGCAGCTAGGTGGTGCAGTGGATAGAGCACTGGCCTTGGAGTCAGGAGGACTCGAGTTCAAATCTGGCCTCAGACACTTGACACATACTAGCTGTGTGACCCTGGGCAAGTAACTTAACCCCAACTGTCTCACCAAAAAGAAAAGACAGAGTAGTAATGTCAAGATTTTGAAGATGTATTAAAAAAAAGTTTAAAAACCCTGAAATAGCAGCTGTATTCTTAGGCCTTGTGCCCAAATAATTAATTTCCAATCTTATTTCTTTTTTAAATTAAAATGTTTATTTTTTCAATTAATGAAAATAAAATCCACCTTTTCTCCCTCCCCTTTCCCAAGCCATTTCAGTTGATTATCATTGTGTTCACCTGATAAGTATGAAATTTTCAAATCTAAACACTTTTATGATGAATGTCACATCTGTTATCATTTTAAATTCCCAAACTAGTTTGGAAAGAAATTGCAAAGGCATGAATATATCAGCTATATACTTTAAGTAGCAGCCTTTGACATCACAAGAGACTGGCAACAACCCAGATTCAAATAGTAATGAAACATCAATAGGCAGATCACTCTATTTCTTGACTTGGGGTTCATGAATGCCCAGGAGGTCTGCAAGAAGTCTGTGTATAGATTTCAGGGGGGACTGTGAACTTGGATGGGAAAATATTTATCTTTACTTCAATCAAATTGGTTTCCTTAGTAATCCTATGTATTTTATTTTATGAATTTAAAAACATTTTGAAGGGTCCATAAACTTCACCAGATTGCCAAATGGGTCACCCATGACACACAAAAAGGTTAGACATTCTTAATCTATTGTGTTAATAGGCCAAGAAGTTTGAAATATGGTAGAAACTCAAGTGCTATGGTCAAAAATGTTAGGAAAAAAACTATCTCATGTCATCTTCAGCTTTTCATTTAAGTTTTATGTCTGACATATCAACTTTGGTTATAAGATAAGAAGAAAATTAAAATTTAGAAAAAAGAAACTCTCTTTTACCCGTGCCATCCTTTTCCACTCTGGCATTAACATCTGGCATGGTCTGCACCAAGGAGAATAAAAATCAACCATCCAGATTTCATCACGTTTTCTTTTTTTAACTAGTTCATCGAATGTCTCTGGTGTTAGAGAAATTACAGAAGGGTTCCTTAGATCCTAAATATACCAGAAATAAGAGAATACAGCTTTAATTACTAATTATACATATATAGTCAATTTAATCAATCAATCAGCATTTATAAAGCATGTGTATGCCAAACACTGTGTGTGCATGGAAAGACAAAAATGAAATAGTTTCTACCCACTCCCCATAGCTGCAAAAAGCTTTTCGGAAGGGTAGGGTGGGCATGAGGACAACTGGGTTCTCCCTAGCTCACTTAGCCTGGAAATGCAGTGGCCATTCATAGACCCAATTCCCTTTGGTCAGCTCAGGAATTCTAACCTGCTCCATTTTTGACTTGGGCTGGTTTGCCCCTCCCTTAGAAGGCAACAACCAAGTGGTCTCCCTACTTCCAAGGTACACCACAGTGGTACTGGACTTAGTGTTGTCACCTGATCAGATTAGCCCACTGCAGCTTAATTTATTAGACACAGATGGACTGACTCTATTCAAGAATATAATCAATGCTTATGTTACTTTTCCTAGGGCCCTCCTTGTTGCACTGAGCTTAGCATTTTCAAGTTTACCCCTTTTATTATTCCTTTAGTAGCTGCCACTAAAACTTCTATAGGAATATGTACAATGAACGCTAAAATTTAGTTAATTTTGAGACCTTAAAACTGTTAATATTTATACAGAATTTATCAACCAAGTACACACACACACACACACACGGCAAAATAGCACTAATAAACTGTATCTTAACGTACCTCTATAAATTCTAAAATCTCTTCAGCTGAGTGATGTCCTTCATATTCATGAATACTGGACTGGTTGAATACCACTGTTGTTGGATAAGCCTGAATGTTATACTATTAGAAAAGAAAGGACAAAGAAACATAACAGAGTCAGCATTTTTAACACAACCTGTTATAGTTGTTAGTGCCCAATTCTGTGCTGCAACACTATTTCATAATCTTTGTCCATTGGCTAACATCATTTTTCATTTGCAATTACAGTAGCACTCTTGCCCACCCTAACTATCTATTTATCTCTGTATTTTTCCTTTATTCTTTTCTATAAATGGAAAGAAAATTTTACAAATAAAACAAAATTAAATTGATGGAAATTAATAGTCAACTATGATTTTGAGGGGTCATATTTGGATTTCAATAACAAATCATATTATCTAACATGCTCAATTCTCATCAAGTGCAAATACAGTAGGGAAGGAATACAAATCATTCCTCAGTGATCTATTGATCTCAGGAAAGATAAGAATTCTTATCTATGGGGCTACTATAAGTGCCAAATATATACGTAGAGACGGTATGCTAAACACTTTGAACAGTTTATAGCAGAATCTCTGTCCATTTTTCAAGGTTAATTACACATTCAAAAAATTAAAAATATTTCTGGAAATTAAGTACATATAGTAGAGATTCAGTAAATTAGCAATAGGACACTTAATGGGTTTTGGGGATAACCATAAATTTTGGGACAAGGTAAATTAAGATAATGTAAATGTGAAGTTTCTTAAAAATTATATTTTATGTATTTCAATGGGTCTATTATCTCAGTACTGTGGGTATTCATTCCATCACTACATACTTACACTGGTCTTGTTGCCTGTTTTTCTATGTCTTTTTTATAGTCTATGAGTACCTGTTTAGTACTCATTCTAGCTACACGATTGGCTCATTTCTTCAATTTAATTCAACAAGCATTTATTTAGTGCTTACTATATTCTAGATCCCAGGATAAAGCAAAAACGAAGCAGTTCACATTCTCAAGCTCCCCATCTGAAACTTGATATGGGGTTAGATGAGAATGATTTGTCTCAGATGCCTTTCAGGTGATAGTCACAGCTTTAGAACATTAAGTTTCTGACTCTATGATTCTAATGCTGTTGTAATTGTTCAAGTCAATAATAAAAAGTACATTTTTAAAACTTATAGAAACTGTATGAGAGGAAGGACTACTGCATAAGCAGTAGCACTAGAAGTATATTTTAATAGTCCTATGTAAAATCCATCTTATTTTATGAGTTTAATAGCCACAACTGCTTGGAGCAGAAATTCCAAAATATACATGGGTTTAATAGAGGTAATAGAGAAAATAAGTATAGAAAGCAAGGAATATCAAGATTACTTAAACTAAGGACATGATTTTTAAAAATCCATTAGATCAATAAGCAGTAAAACTATATACTTAATATTTTTTTTTTTAGAAAAATGTGATATTGATCAAATTTCCCTATTTATACAAATATTTCCCTTCATGGCATTCCCAACATTTTATGATACACCTTTGCAACATTCAGAGCCATTTCTGTGGATTAAATACTGAAAGAAGTCACAAGGTTCAAATCTGGTAAGGTGACAGAAATATTTACTTTATTATTTGAAAGTCAAGCATCTCTGTCTCCTCATTATTTTCTGTGTAGTCTAGAAAAACCTTTAAAACTGACTTTGATGGCGCCATGTAATGATCCAAATGGCAAGTTGGACACGATTTGTCAGAAACAAGGTAATATGATGAAAAGAGTTTTGGATTCAAATTTAATAATCATGTGATCTTGGGCAGGTCATATAACCTTTCATAGTTGCCGTTTACATACCTGCAAAATGGGGATAATGAAAACACTTCCATTATCCTTCCTTCTAGGGCTAAATCTTGTAGTTAGGTGTTTCTCTGATTATACATTTCCTGAATGGTATTGTCAACTTATAAAATATGGAGTTTGTTTCTCAGTGAATCATTTTACATACCTTAGATGAAATTTCTTTAAGTCAGGCACTAACTTACTTAATTAGTTTTCTTTGCTCTCTACATTTCACAGTTAACTAAGCATTTTTCTATCAGTCTTCTCTAGCAACCAAATCTTCCAGTGTGCTCCTAGGTTTAAAGTTCTTTCTAACATCATTAAATCACAGATAGAAACAATGAATGAGGAACCGGATATCTTTCCACAAGGGCTCCAGTATTTCCTGCAATATACAAATTCCTTACCTATAGGAATCATCAATGTGGTACTCAGACAATATTTCAATATCCTCCAAAACATGTCTGAATACTTAGGGAACAGTATCCAATCTTGCATCATTCAGTTTTTGTTAGGCTTAAAGCAGGAGTGGGGAACCTGTGGCCAAGTCCAAGTTTTATAGAACAAATCCTTTTATTAAGGTCACTTATTTTGTGAAGTTTGGATTCAGTCAAAGGGCTGCACTTGAGGGCCTAGAGGGCCACATGTGGCCTTGAGGCCACAGGTTCCCCAACCCTGACTGAAGGTATCATCTGCGTTCAAAAGAAGATCTGGTAGTTGTATTTTGGAAAACCTTTTACATAAAACCACATCTATTATTCACAAAATTTCATAAACATTTGAAAAGTCTTTTCTAGGGCTAAAACATACATAATATGCAAACCATGTCATATTGTGTTTTTATTATTCTAAAAGTAGTTATGTTTTCGACCTTTAGAGCATCTGAATTCATGAAATGATGAATAATGGGGTCTTAATGTATTTTAGAAATCATATAGTTATTATTCATTTAACAAATTCTAAATCTTTAATATTTCTCAAACCCTTCTATGTTGAACACAAATTTTTGATAACATGAAAAAAAATGTTCCTACTAACAAAACTGTTAAAGAAGCTCCTTTGCTGTAACATTTTCTGCTTAGAAATGAATGATTAGGAAAAAATTCAACAACCTTTTACATTTATACCATACCATGTTGCAGAGGCCCTCATGGATTGTACAATCAAGGGTGCCAAATTTAAGCTGCCCATTCAGATGCTTTGATGCTTTTCGTAACTCTGGCAACAAGGCTCGACAAGGTGGACACCACTTGAAAGAAAAAGAGATCAGTTACTACTAGAAAGGACAAAACAGAAGAACTCTACAATTTTTGTAACAAATTAGTTAAGCAGTTATTTCTTCAATGCACATTTAAATACCTATTCTGTATAACACCCAAAGCAGAGAACTCTGTATATCAGTAAATCACAAACCTGTTATTTCACTGGTGTATCTTCATAGACACAGGACAACCTATCTATAATTTCACAGTATGTGAGAACTATCTGAAGTTCGTCAGGATTAAATGAATTGGCCAAGGTCACAAAGAGTTAGAGAAATCAGGAATCAGGCCTTCCTAACTCTAAATCCAGTGCCCTTTCCATTATGAAATGCAGCTTTCTCCACTGTATATCATGCAAGCAAATTACTCCTCAAAATGGCATGTTCATTAATATTCATCTGTTGATAAAAGTGTAACATGCAACTGCATCAAAGGGTACAGTGCTTGGAGTAGTCATCATGGAACTCCAAGTTGAAATCAATCAATCAAACATTTATTAAGCATCTACTAAATACTAAGGATACAAATAAAGAAACAAAGATGCTTTTGTCACAAAGGAAAAAATTCCAACAAAAATATTAAATATGACAATTTTTTTTAACTTAAAAAAAAGAGTAAAAAACATAACTTACTTACAGGTGTAAAGAAATCAACAAGCCATGGTTCTTTTTCTTTGTCAGGAAAATTCTGAGGTCCAAGTGTGACAACATAAGAGTCAACACTTTCTTTTGCAAATGCAAGTATATGGTACAGGATCTTTTTTCCTTTGAAAATGAGCGAAAAGAAATAAACAGCTACAATAACCTTTCATATATATAGAAAATATTCAAGCCTTCTATATTCAAAATATTAAATATAGGATGACAACCTAATCAAGAACTGATTTTAGCTCTTTAGTCTAGTTTTATGCAATTTTATTCCCAACTATACTTTGTCTACTTCTCTGTATGGAATTCTTAATAACTTGAATTCTAGTTAAAGAATGACATAGAATCGTAGTATCACAGATTTACAGCTGGAAGGTATTGAAAATAGTCCAACCTTCTCCTATTACAGATGAGAAAACTAAGGTCCACTAACATTAAATGGATTGTCTTAGGTCACCCAGGTATTTAAGTATCAGAGGAAGGATTTCAATACAGGTCATCTAACTCCAGAAGCCAGTGCTTTTTCTATTGTCAATTATCTATTATGAGACTGAAAAATAAATTAGTCATTTTAGCTGCTTTGGCATGGACATCTTCCATCCCCCCAACTACATAACTAAAATTAGTGGCAGAACCAGGGCTAGAACATAAATCTTCTGACTTCCAGTCCAACGCTCTTTCCATGATTTTGTTCTATATGCCAACAGAGAAAGGGGAAAGGAATAAGCATTTATAGATGGCTTACTACGTACCAAGCAGCGCTGTGTGAAGCACTTTACATTATTATCTCATTTGATCCTCCCTACAACCCTGGGAGGCAGGTGCCGTTATTATCTACATTTTATAATTGAAGAAATTGAGGCAGAGGGAGTGACCTGCACAGGGTCACACAGCTAGTGTTTAAGGTCACATTTGAACACAAGTCTTCTTCCTGACTCCAGGCTCACTGCTCTATCCACTGTGCTACTTAGCTGCCCATCTAAAAACTAGGATGGCTAAAATGCAAAAAACATAGAGAACGCAGTCAAGATGACATATGCAAATGCAAAATTTGGTCACATACAGGAGAAAAATGAAAAACAATGGTCAACAATAGCCTAGAACCTGTACTGGTCATATTAGAATTGAAATAAGGAGTCCTGGATACTCTGGCTAACAAAATAACCTCCCAAACACCTCACAGATTAAAATGTTGGCCCAATTTTTGCTGAATGATAAAAACTATTAAGTATAAGGAAAATAATTTTTAAAAGAGAGAAGGGTAAAATCATTTTAGAGAGTTTAAGAGATTTTTCCCATAAGAATCATGAAATCTTGGAGCTGGAATATACATCAGAAGTTACCGAATCTAATCCAAACTGGTTCAGGAAAAGAGTTTCTACAATAATCCTAAAAAGTGGTCATCTAGGTTTTACATTTTCATCTCTAGTGAGAGGGAACTCATTATCTCTAGAGGCAGCCCAATCAACTTTTGCACATGTTTAACTTTTGTAAAATTTTAGGAAGCAGTTAAAGAGAAAAAATTTTAAAAGATTACTAAATGACAGCAAGGAACTCTTAAGTGATGAAGTTTTTGAGGAAGATAGTGGTAAGAACATGAAATTATCAAGCAACCAAAATCAAGAATTATTGCTACATTTATATAAATAAAAGTTTCATGATGCGATGAAACAGGGTAGTATGAAGATTGAATAGTACTATTTAAAATAAGGGTAACTTAAGTTTTATATTTTGTCGTTTCTCTTACCATGATGAATTTCATAATCGTCAGTTCCTTTACCTTTAAAGACTGCCACAGATGGCTGATGAACATAAAACTTACGGCAGGTGTCTGGTTCAGAAAGACAGTCAAACCTGCCAACCTAAAAAAGAGAAAATGCATTTGAGTTTAATATGAAAAACCTTAGTATCTACAAAAGTTTTTAAATCATGAAGATGTTCTAAAATGATATTGCACTATTAATACATAATTGTCTAGTTACTGTTGCCCATTTATTCTCACTTGATAGCTTTCAACAAACATTTTAATTGATTTCTTTTGTTTTTATATAATCTTCATTTCCCAACATATTCATCTCCTTTCCTAATGTACTTCCTACTGATGCCAAATGAAACAGAAGCCACCGTAGACTGAAAAACTTGTTGATGTCAGAAATTTTCACTGTCTATTCTAGAAATATTTATTTTACTTCTTACACTGAGTTAATTTTATTTCAAAAAAGAAAAAAAAGCCTCTCTCTTAAGGAGTTGAAACAATTTGTGAGGATGCTTAAGTTCTCTTCAACTGTTTGAGAGCATAGCATGTACATATTTAAGAGAAACTAGTATAAAGTCAGACAGATAATAAGGGCAACTTCTGAAGGAAATGCATTTTAACCACTAACAGTTATGTCTCCTAAAATTTAGAATGGAAAAACAAAACCAAACCAGGATATTTGAAAAAAGAATTTCAAGTAAATCTGTCATTCTTGATCCTTGACATCACTAAAAGTATAATTATACTTATATAACATAGAAACATGCTTTCTTACCTGAATATGTTCCTTTTTAAGAAGAAATTTTAACTTTTTAAAGTCATGAGTATTTGAATTTTCATTTTTTCCAAACTGAAAGAAGAGCAGCCATCTATGATGAGCCAATCGATCCTTGAAAATGACAAAAAAGAACATGGTAAACTGTGAATATCAACTCTTCTTTTCTGTCTCTTAATTCACATTATCTATTTTTTTACTTCAAATATGCTTTTCAAACTGTAGGCCCATTCATGCTGTAATTTCATTCTCTCTGCTACAATACAACAGACTACCTGCACAATATTAAGGTGACATTAGCCTAACTGTCAGTAAGTAACAAAAATATAAAGAAATTCTTATTAGTGAAAACTTTACCAAGAGGTGAATATTGTTTAAGGTTAAGGAACTGGAATGAAGATAAATTTGTTCAGCTTTCATGCGAAAGATGTGTGGGGGGGGATGGAGATGGAAATAAATGTGTAGAAACCTTTGGTATTAACAACTAGGTTAACCACCAACACTCCCAGGATAATTTGATGAACAATTCTTTTAAGTTCTTCTTTAGTTTGGGCTACTTCTAAACCTTTATGTGCACCAAAGTGGCAGAATGCATAAACTGGTGATTTTTAAACAGTTTAACTTTACTTAAAATGTCATTGGCTGTTAGCGTAATTAAATATTACATATTACCTTTAGTGAATCTGCAGTGAGTATTTCAAAATCTGGAAGGTGGCGCATTATTTCAAAATATATCTCTTTGGCATCCAAGGAGTTGAGAAACTAGAATCAAGGGAACAGAAGGTGAGACATCCATTAGGTTCACAAAAAACAAATTCAAAAAAAGAGCCAACAGTAAAACCTCTTCGTTTCAGACAGCTAAAGTTTAGGCAAAAAGAGGAACTAGAGATTCTAACAAAATGAGGCACATATAACCTCATAATATAATAAGTAAGAGGTTAGAGAAAGGGTGTGTGGTACTATAGCTAATGATGATGATGACAATGGATGCCATTTTATGTAGCATTTTAAGGTTTACAAAACACTACTTATGTTATCTCATTTGAAACTCACAATAACCTTGTGAAGTTGGTGCTATTATCTTCATTTTACAGATGAGGACACTAAGGCTGAGATAGATTAAGTAACTTCCTCTAGATCACCCAGCTACTAAGTATCTGGGTGTATGAGACAGGATGTGAACATAGGTATTCCTGACTCCTCCTACCATGAGGTCATCAGGAACCAGAGAGCAAGGAAGCATTTGGGTTGAAGGCCAAAGAAGGGAGAAAGATAAATGATTTTTTTTTCCATTTAAGTATATACCACAAATTACTTGGAAAGAAAGTAGAAATAGATGAAAAGTTTGAAACAGATCAAAATCTTGATACAAAGGAATAATATAGTGGTGATTGGGGATTTTAGTTATCCAGGTATCTGTTAGAGTACACTCTTTGTCAAAAGCAAAGCACCAGTAACTTCTTTATTTGTCTGAATCATAACTTCATCCTTCAAAAGGTGAAGGGACTAAGAAAGAGAAGGTACATATTGGATCTGATTCTAACACCTGTTAGAACTAATTATTTAACTGGAAGTAATGAGAACCCTGGGAAGAAGTGCCCATTCACTCTGAGTTTCTGATTCAGAAGAAGAAACCCAGCCATGGTCTGAAATGTGCCCTAGATTTTAGGAAAGCAAATTTCAAAGGGTTCAGAATAAGGGGAAGTAGGATATCTCACAGGCTAAGATTATAAGAGTAAGTCAGCACAGCAAGGATAGGAGAAACTCAAGAATGAAATTCTGAAGATATAAAGGAAAAACAATTTCAGTTGAGGAGGAATAATGAAAATTGTTTGAAAGGATAATGAAGGAGGTATGGGTAGGCAACAGAACATGGTATGGTTCAGTAAAAATTGTGTTAGACATGCTAAAACTCAGAATGAGTAGAAGCTAACAAGAGAAGCTAAGGACAAGTTATTTTTTTAAAAAGCTAGATTAGTAGAGAAAAATGGGACAAGGTATAGATGGAACGATAATTTACAACAGAGAAAGTAGAACTGTTCAACTCTCATTTTGATTCTGTTTTCTCTGTCAAAAAGAATGAGCTTTGAAATGGAAATGACAGTATAAGAATGACTTAGCAAGGAGTCAATCTCCAAAGGAAGTAAAAAAAACTTCTAAGAGAAGACCAAGTTACCCTTGATGAATTTAAAAAAAAACAAACAAAAAAAAAAAAACCAAGGCCCAGATGATCTACTTCCTCAGGCACTGAAAAAATGGAAGGTGTGAACGCTGAGCCACATCAGTAATATCTAGAAGATCGTTGAATACAAGACTAGAGAAGGGCAAATATTGTCTACAATTTCAAAAAAGGAGAGTCCAGAGTTTGTAAAAAACAGAAGAGCTCTTAGTGGTTCCAAGTCAATGTGGCAAGAGCTCACCAGAGGAGAGCCCTAGGGCTCTGCACTCGGCCTTGTGCTAATTAATATTTTTATCAATCACTTGGACAAAGGCCTATCAAATTTGAGTTACAATGAATTGGAAGGTACAGCTAATATTCTCTATGACAAAGTCAGGATCTTAAAACAACCTGACAGTTTAAAGCAATGAGATTAATAAGATTAAGTCAAATGAAATTAAATACAAAGTCTTACACTTAGGTTCAAAAAAATCAATTTTCCAAATAAAGGATGTAGGAACCAAAGTTAGAGAGCAGACTGACCTTGCAAGGTTAATGGGAACCAGAAGTGTAACATGGAAGCCAAAAAAGCAAAGGTGATTTGGGGCTGCATCCTAGGACAAGAATTTCAGAACCCTCAAGGGTAGATCTGCATGTTGATACAATGCATTTTTTTTTTTATCCATAAGGCAAAGAAAATAGAAATAGGATGAAAATTTTTATTTTGAAGTAAAATTATAATGATCTTTTTTGTATCAATTGATGCACCTGGTACTTTTAGTATTAATATATGATACAAAAAAGATCATTATAATTTTACTTCAAAATAAAAATTTTCCCTTGTATCAATATGCTCTACACAGAGATAAATGAAAACTGATTTCACAACTTAAACATCTGACAAAATGGCAAACATGCATACAAATTACTTAAAAGTGACTCATACCAAAACACCGCCTTTTTCTTTGTTGGTTAAGGTGGCCCCAGGTGGAAAATATGCCGTAGTACTTGATGTGATGTCTAGACTTTTACATAGCTCACCCTGGGTGCCACAATCCATCCAGCCCACATTAACAAGGCCATCCTAGGGGGTTAAAAAAAAAAAAGAAAAGAAAAAGTAGAGACAAAATTTACTAACCGAAAATATGTAAGCTGAAAACTTCAAGTTATACTACATAGGAAAAAAATTTAAAAGTAATTATTTAATAAGCAAATTCAGACTACTAGAAATTAAGGCTCTCATTTTAAAATATTATTCATAGACATCTTGAAATAATCAATTTGCGTAGAATTTATCACATTATTTTTCACTTGGGTCAATTTGGTTCCCTTCCAAATGAATCAAAATAGACTCGCAATTTTCTTGATATTACTCTATCTAAGCAAATACTATGTGTAAAATAATTACCTTTCTAGTTTTATGTGATATGGACGGCCATCTTACTGATCTCCATAGAAATTTTTAGAAGTTCAGTTGTTGGCAAAGGTATTACTTAAATTAATAGTGTACTTTTTATAAAGCTCATTCCTACTTACCAACATGCCAGCCAGTTTAAGACGTGTTTGTGAACTTAAGCAATCTGAAACAGAGGTAAAGAAATTGTCATAGTTTTATAAGGTTATACCTTATCTTTTACATTGCTCAATTTTTGGTATCAATGGCTTGTTTGAATACGTCAGGTTTAAAGGTGTTGTAATTGTTTATCATGCCTTCTAATCTTCAACCTTTTTTTTTTCTTATTTACTGTTGATTCTGATCTTTGTTCTAACTAGGTCTAATAGCATGGTCAGGAGAATCTGATATGATTCCCACGTAAGGGGCCGTCAAAGAAAAAATATAGTCAGTTTAATTTTTTATGATGATCAGCGCATGCCAGGTCCAATACTTTGCTTTCTTCCATAAGAAAGCATTTATGACAAATAGACACCAGGTTTCTGAGTAGCCTATAAACTATTCATCTCTTCTGTTTCTCAAACCTGAGACATATTTCTATGTACTTTTTACTGTTCTTCTCTGTGCCTACTTCCTCATTTAAAGTGCTCAGTATCAGTATCAATATCAATCAAAATGAAATGGGTTAGAGAATCTTGCCACATTCTTCAAAGAATTTCTTTACTCCTTCATCTTCTACAAATGATGCTATTATATAGGCTGAAATTATCTTCATGGTGTTCCCTTTGCTTGTGTTCATCGTGAACACTGACATGTGGAACAACACCAGAAGTATTCCATGAAATGACGCTTCTTACTACTACCTTTAGGTACACGGCAAAACCAACAACTTGTTCAGCATCTTTATGAACCCCTCCAAGAAGAACCTGAGCCATTCCTCTTTTTATTTTCCGCTTTTGTTTATCATGAGAAGATCAATACTGGGGTACATCAGTTCTTCCAGAGTACATTAGCTTGTTTTTTCACTGGACAAAGATCTCATGTTTAGAGTATGTATGTTGAATATTTATAGAAGATCTAAAAATGGTGTGATTCTTTGCTTGGCATCTTTTTCTGACACTCCACATCATCACCGTGAAATGTTTATTTAAAATTTTTCTTTGCTTCAGAGGTTGCCGGGGCCAAATAATTCATGACCAGGGGCAATCGACTAATGATGAGCCTCTCCCATTCTTAGTGAGGTTGGCCCCTAGTCTTCTATCTCAATCTGTCACTCAAACCATCTTCTAAGAGACCATCTTCTAAGCTTTACCAGCATGGAAGAACCTGCCAGAGCTTATGATCCACTGGCAGAACCTTTAAGAACATAAAGCAATCTTCATGTTAACTGGTTGTATGTACAACTAACTATGGGAATGAATGTGAACCCTTAAGCTGAAAATTTGTCCATGAAACATAAGCACACAAATTATACATTTAAACGCCATTATTTAATAATCAACTGTGCTCAATGATGTAAAAAAAGAGAACTATTCAAATTACATATGAGAAAATAAAGAGGATCTTTAAGTTTAGAATTTTTTTTCTGAATGAACATTTGAGACTACATACTTAAAAGTATCACCTAAACTAAAATGTTATTGTCTCTTCACCATAATAAAACTAATATTTTTACCTCCCGTCTTAGAACAAAAGGTGATGAGCCAGCCAACACCAGAGGCAAAGGCAGTTTCGATGGCATTAACAAAATTTCCTTTAACAAAAACACACACACACAGATACACAAAAAACAATTAGAAATAAATTTCAATATTTTCTTTCATGTTTGTGTCATAATTATTCAAAATAGCACAAAAAGGGGGCAGCTAGGTGGCGTAGTCGATAGAGAGCTGGCCCTGAAGTCAGGAGGACCTGAGCTCAAATCCGGCCTCAGACCAAATACTTGACAATTACTAGCTGTGTGATCCTTGGCAAGTCACTTAACCCCAATTGCCTAAAAACAAAAAAAATAAAATAAAAACAAAAAAACAAAAAAAATAGCACAAAAACTTTTAAATTAATATGTTTTATTTAATACATTCAAATGTAGCTATACTTCCCTGAACCCATTCAGTTAACTATTGAGAATAAAATCTCTCAGTTAAAACATGAAATCATTCACTTAATTTTAGACTGTTACCTATTAAAATACTAAGTTAGTTTAGGAAATGTTACACTTTATAAAGCACTTTTATCTAAAGATCTTAAAATGTTTCATGGACATATATTAAATATGATAAAGTCTTTTAGCCATCAGGTTCTTATCTCATGGAAGGTTAAGAATGAGTTTAGTGTTGTTAAATGACCTGTCCAATGTTAGAGAGTCAGTGACAAGAACAAGAATAATACCCAATTTTCTTAAAGTAGTAAAACCATATTCAAAAGTAATAAATGTGATATGTAATATACACAAACAAAATTTAATTTCCCCATTATATTTTGAAAAAGAGTTGCCTAATCTAGTTTTAATCACCCCTTTCCCCAACCTCTAGCCCTAGTCACATTACTACTTATAATCATTATAAATTCTGCAAAAAGAACTGTGATTTGTCACAAAACCTACTATTTGGGTGAAGAATTAACTAGTTGTATGATTTCTTGGACAAAAACCACCCTATCCTAAGATGGGACCCCTGTATGAATTCTGACAAAGGAGCTTTAAAAAACAATCTGATATTTTTAGTTCAATAATATTACCATTATCAAATTATACTTATTATTAATTTAAGAATAAACAAGTATCAGGATTGAACTGAAGAAGTAAATTACCTGCCCATAATTCTGTCACTGTGCTTTTGACATACCGCATGGCAAAATTCACTAAGTGGTCCTTTGATCTCTCTCCAAAATACTTCACTGGATTCTATTTTTAAAAATGGTAAAAAAAAATTTTTTTTATTTAAAATATATTATCTCATGAGCCTACATGATAATTAGTAACAAATGTTACAGTTTCTATAATATATTTAACTTTTAAAATGTTCATTTAAAAGATGAAATTGTAAGCTGTTCCGTGCATGTCTAGAAGAGATAAAACTTTTAATCTCTTCTTTGCTTAATTTCAAGAATGGTGGACCTATTTTAGAAAAAAAATTGCCACTGCAAAAAAACATAAGAGTCTGGTCAATTTTCATACACTAATTTTCAAGGTGACATGAAATAGTTCTTAAGAACTGCTACGTAACACCATCATTTAAAGTTGGAGAAAAATAGACAGTAGGGTTTATTTTAATTTGCAATAAAATATTCAAATGTTAAAGACAATACCCTTAATACCATGAAAAAAGAACCCAAACCAGAAATTAATTATAATAAAATATGCAAGTACTGACTTTTAAAAAAATGTCTAACAGAATAATGCAAAAGGCAATAATGGCTATAGTTAGATATGGTGTTTAAAACAAGGGTTTTATAACTGAAATTCTCTCTAAATTTATGGGTTTGCTTTGCACTTTTTATTTTATTCTTTACTATACATTCAACAGTTTCAGAAATGCTAATTTTTTCCTTACCGTTTCAGATTTGAAAATGTAGAGGCTTGGATAACTTTGGATTCCTTTCATTCTGCAAAGCATTCTATCATCTCCACAATTTACAGCTCCAATGCGAAATAAACCATCCATTTCTTTAGCAAATTCCCTCCACTAAGGCAAAAGAAGAGGAAAGAAAAAAAGAAAACAAGTCTTCTTTCTTCCCAGAAGACTTAAATCATTACCTTTTTCAAAAGAATTGTAGAGGTAAAAAACAAAAATGCAAATAAAAGTTTGTATTTATGTAAGCAAAATCATATTCTAAGTTATAATTATTTCTGACTGAAACATTCCTGACAACAAAATAAAAGTTTTGGATGATTAAATCAACAAAATGCTGGAAATGAAAAATGAAAAACCTAATGTTAAGATGCTAGATGAATACATACTGTGGGAGCTAAATCATGGCAGTGTGAACATCCCGGGGAGTAGAAATTTATGAACCACAGCTCTCCAGAATTAACAGCAGCATCTAAAAAGCACATGAAAAATCAAATTAAAATGATTTATAAAAAAAAGACTCCTGAATGTTTTGGTTTAGTTACATGTTTGTCATGCCCACACAAAAAAGAAAATCCATGAGATAGAAATTAATTTTAAACATTCATTTATTTTTGAAAAACCAGTTAATGACACACTTCTTGCCTTGACTTTCTTAGTGTAAGGCAACTGACCAGGTTGTCTTGATTTCTGAGGAAATATCAAGATGATGTCTTCTCTTTCCTCCCTTACTCTTTTCAATACTAACCAACCTCTCTTATCCTAGTTGACTCATTTTAGTACATAGTGAGGTGAGCAGTAGCTTTAAACCCCCAGGTAATTCCAGATGTAGAACTACAAAAGTTAGAACAAGGGAATGAACTAGGCCTGCTCACAAAATATTCTTCTGGTCTCTTTTTCAATCAGTAAGCATTTATTGAATACCTACTATATGTCAAGCACTGTGCCAGGTGATGGGGATACAAAGGCAAAAACTAAAAAGTTCTTGCCCTCAAGGAACTAATAACATGCGACTGTGGGGATACAATGAACACACTAGTAAGCAATGCAAATTAATTTCAAGAGAGATCTAATAAATGAGAGGGACTTGGTCAGAGTCTCATGTAAGAGGAAGCTATGGATTCCAGGAAGCAGGAGGGAGGGGGAGGGTACTCCATCTATACATACAGACATAGGGGCCAACTTGTGCAAAGGCAAGAGGTGGGAGACGAACGTCGTGATGAGGGACAGCTAAGGTAGTTTTAACTGGAACGGGGAGTTTGTGACGGGGAATGTTATGAAATAAGTCTGGAAAGACAGGTGAAATCCAGATTGCGTAGTGCTTCAAATTCCAGGTTGAGGATTTTATTTTATCCTAGAGACTATAAGGAATCATTGAAAATTTCTGAATAAAAGTGATATAGTCAAATATGTTTCAGAATACTGACTTGGCAGCTGTGTGAAGGGCTGATTAGAGAGGGGAGAGACAGGAAGTTGGTAAATCTAATATAAGTCTACTGCAGTAATACAGGAGAGAGATGACAAAGGCTTGAACCAGAGTAGAAGTTTTGAGTGAAAAGAAGAAAGATCAATAGGTGCTGTGGAGGTAGAATTGCCAAGATTTGACAAATGGTTGGGTTTAAGGGATGAGGGGGACAGAAGGGTCAAGGATGACTTCAAAATTTCAAACCTGAATGACTGAAAGGATCAGGGTATCACCAACAGAAATGGGAGAATATGGGGGAAAATATGATCTTGTACATGTTGAGGATGAGATTCCTATGGGACATACCCATGGGGAGGGGTACAACAAACAGTTGGTAATACAGAAGTGAAGTTCCAGAGGGAAATTAGGGCTGACTATATCAATTTGAGAGGAATATGCATAGAGACAAATGGACCTCATGTTATCTGGTAAGATCACAGAAAAGGGGAATGTAGAGAGAGAAAAAGGACAAGGACAAAACCTTGGGGATGCCCATATTTAGTGAGCAGGAAGAAAATGACTGCAAAAGAGACTGAAAAGTAGTAGTTATAAAAGTAAAGGGAAAACCAAGAGAGAGCAGTATCAGAGAAGTAAAGAGTGAGTCTTCAGGAAAGGTAATGGTTAACAGTGTCAAAAACTGAAGAAAAGTCAAGAAGTATGAGAACTGAGAAAAGGTCACTGGATTTAACAATTAAGAAAGAACTCAATAATCTTGTAAAGAACAGTGTCAGTGCAATGGTGTTGTTAGAAGCCAGAATGCAAAAGAATGAGGAGTGAAGAGAAAAAATGGAGACATTGAGTGCAGAAAACTCGTTCTTGGAGTTTGATTGTGAAAGGGAGAATAGATAGAATGGTTAAGTGAAAAATTTTTAAGGATGGTAAAGACTGAAGACAAGTAACAGCAAAGATGCTAGTTCAGTAGTTAGGGGTGAGACTGAAGACCTTGTAAATCTTTAACATCATAGTAAAGCAAAGACTCCACAATATTCTAGATATATATATCACTGATTCAGGTTAGTCATGAAGACCAAATAAACACAACGTATAGAGCTAAATCATACACTGCTCATGGGAAAACATACCAAAGGTATACAATGATAATCTGAACTAATAGCTTGTGGAAAGGATGCCAGACAAAAATCTTATTATTGCCAGTTGACTAAGTTCATATTTTAACATGATTTTAAAGTAAATTTTCTTATCTTTTCCATTCCACACACACTTCATGTACCTGAGTAATTTACCTGGCCAAGGTTTTTTTTTCTTCTTCTATTTTTCTGGTTGTGGCTACTAATTTAAAATTTGATGTGATTTAAGGTACTGGAGCACTCGGTGGTTTGAGATGTACTGAATATATTCTGGGTTTCTCTTGAGTTGGCACAACCTACTTAGATTTAAATAACCAATTTCAGTAAGTTATGAGATTCACTACTTTGTTCACTGTTTCTCTAGCTGTGTTTTGAATTTTAGAGCAATTTTTTAAAAAAAAATCTGGTTATTATAGTAAATTGCTTCTTAAAATAGCTGGAAGAAGAGTTTTGAGTATCTGAGGCAGCCACACCTGCAGCATCCTCTCATGTAAAACTCTACTTTGTCAGGACAGAAGATGGTTATTTAGGGGAAGGCAAAGGAAATGCTAATGAATCATTCATTTCCTTTCTTCTTTTCCTAGTAAGGGTATACCAAAGTTGTTTTCACTGTAAAACTATAGTTACAGTGGCAAGGTATTCTTGGGTTTTAACTTCTTGTTAGAATTGAGAAAAATAGAAAAATTCTTACGTGGACATGTTTGTGTTCTACCTAACAATATGGGAGATAACTCTTAGATACCTCTTATATATTTCCCTGCCAAGGTGCAGGGGAATACCAAGACAAACCAAAGTCCCTTTTCTCATGAGGTTTACATTCTCTTGGGAAGATACAGTATTTAAACAAATAAGCAAATAAAAAATATATACAAAGTAATAAAAATTAATTTCAGGGAGTGATAATAATTGGGAGCGGGGGTAGAAAAAATCTCATATAGGAGGTAGCATCTTAATGGCTCTTTGAAGGAAGATAGTGATTTTCTGAAGCAAAAATAAGAAGGGAGTAACATTTCAGGCATGGAGGACCATCTGTGGAAGATTACAACATTCTAAGTGTACTGGAAACAGGTCTTAGTATTGGTGTCCAAAGCAAAATTCATTATCTTTCCTTTCAAACCCATACCTCTTCTCTGAATTTCCCTATTACTGTTGAGGGCACCATGATCCTAGCCAACCTTAGTTTGCAACCTCAATGTCATCTTTGACTTGTCACTCTCATTCATCCCACTTACCTGATCAGTTGCTAAAACTTGTCAATTCTATCTCCACAGCATCTCTCACATATGTGCCCTTCTCTCTACTCATCTTTTTCCTACCTTGGTCCAGGCCCTATTTACTTCTTGCCTGGACTGTTGCAATATGTCTTCTAAGGTGTCCCTGCCTTAAGTTTTTCTCCACTCCAATGATTTTTAGATGGTATAGGTCTAACCATGTCACTGTTTTACTCAATTAACAACACTGGCTCCCTATTAACTCCAGGATCAAATAAAACTCCCATGTGGCATTTAAAGCATTTTGCAACCTTGACCCTTCCTTTACAATTGTCTTACACATCATCTACTTACATACACTCTATGGTCCAGCCAAACTGTCCTACATGACGTTCCTCTTACCTGAGACTTCATGTCCTGTCTTTGTACTGACTGTTCCCTGTCCCTGGAATGCTCTCCTCTCTCACCTCCATCTTTTGGAACCCCTAGCTTCCTTTAAGACTCCATTCAAGTACTACCTCTTACAAGATCTGTCAGTCCTTGTTACCTTTCCCTCTGATAACTTTGTATATAATTTTATATATTTTGTACACACCAATAGTTATATGTTGTTTCCCTCGTCAGAACACAACCTTACTGAGGGTAGGTACTGTTTTTGCGTTTTGTTATCTCCACAATACCTGGCACATAGTAAGTACTTAATTTTTTTTTTCTACTGACTGATTAATATAGAATAACCTACAATAAAAAAAAAAAGCAAGATATCCTTTGGTATCTTTCTGCATCAACTTCTAAAGATTTAGTCTAACTACTCTCATTTTACAGATGAGGAATCTGAGGCTGAGAAAGCTTAAATAACTTGCTCGTGGTTATGCAGCTAGTCAAGAGATCTAGAGTTAGTATTTAAGCTCATCTTAAGACACCCAATTCAGTGTTTACATTACATATACTATGCCACTTTTCAATGCTTAGGTTTTGCTCACTTCACCCACAAAAATATTGTGGTGAATACAGCATACATAAATTACTCACCACCACCCCCAAAAAACCAAACCAAACAAACCTCAAACTCTAGACTTTTGATTTTTAGTTTTATGTGAGGATTGTGAACATATGTGTATTCTAAAAGTCTTTGTACAGCTTTTACAGCTTAAAAAATTAATAAGCTTTAATAACTTAAAGTTGCACTAAAAGACTATAGGACACATTATATTTTCTATAGGAAGACTTCTAATACAGAAAATGCCAAGGATCAAGTAGTAGTATGAATTTAGTCCACAGAGTTATCACAGTGCCTGGCACACAGTAGGCAGTCTGATTGACTGGTCATTCAGTTTGCCTCTAAATACCCACTCTTCTTACAGAAGATTCTTGAAATTATTTCAACTTCTTATGTATCTACTATATGACAGGACATATATTCAATATCACATTATCAGGTGTGATGATGCGGTGCTATCTAATAAAATAAACACATAAAATATATTCACGTCTATCTTTTTATACTTAGATCAGCAGTTCTCAAAGTGTGGTCCCTAAATCCCTAGGGTCCCTGAGACCCTTTCAGGGGATCCATGAGGTCAAAACTATTTTCATAACAATACTAAAATGTTATTTCCCTACTGAAATACTCTTCTGTTTTTCAACTATGTATCTCCATGAGGCTGGACTTTCTTTTAATACTTCAACTAAAGCAATATATAACAACAGAATCAATGCAGAAGCAGGTATTAGAATCCAGCTTTTTTTTTTACTAGCAAAATGTTAATAAGATCTGCAAATATATGTAAAATAATGATACTTTTCAATAAATTTTTTTTTGTTCTGGAAAATAGGGTTTTCCCCCCCCATAAATGTAATTTCTGTTAACATATACTAGGTTTATTATTATTTTTAAATGATTTAGAAAATATTTTAAAATTTTATCAATTTTATTTCTAATACAGTTAATATTGATGTCTATCATATTTACATCTGTAAAGCACAAAAACAAAACCTCTTTGGGGTCCTCAATAGTTTTTAAGAGTATAAAGGTGTGCCAAGACTAAAATGTTTGAGAATTGCTGCTTTAGAATACTAAATAAAACTTAACACTACCCCCAAAAGTACTCTGAGGGTTCTAATACATGAAGCTTTATAGATTGATTTATTAAAAATAAATATCATGATGAATTATGTCTCCTAAAAATAAGTGGATGTCAAGATATTTACAGAATCAAAAAATTGGAAGGTTCTAACGTCTTTCATTTTAGAGACTGAGACCCAGAGATATTCGGTGGCATGTCCAAAGCCACATTGTTATTCATTTATGTTGGAATTGTAAATTTGACTTAAATATGGTTCAGTGGCACAAAAAAAATAGGAAAAGATTTAACCTTTAGTGTACAATTAAAGTGGGATAGGGACTAGACCTCTGATGTCACTAATAGGGGGATAATGCAAATAATATAACATAAGTACTTAATACTAATTCAAAAGATGAGGATACGTTCCAAAATACGTAATTTTCAAAAAAGGGACATTTTGCCTGCCTCATTATTTTACCAATTCAAATAGACCATAGATCAAATTGTTTGCCACTTTATCAGCATAAAGTAAAAACCTGCATAAAAAACTTTCTAAAATGTAGATAACATTAGTTTTGTTTAATGACAATATCGTTATCATCATCATCATCACAGTGCTCTGATAAAATTATATGCTCCTAGAGCCTTACCAAATTCTCTTCTGTCCAAGGTTATAATTTCAGGATCATCATCATAAATACCTGGTTGTAAAAGGACATACACACACACAAAATTAGAAAACAAAACATAAACTGCACTTAAAGTGAAGTGTAAGTACTGATTACTACAAAATCAGAATACCCTAAATTTTACTTACACTTGAAGAGAACATGCACAGAAATGCTAAAGGAAAAGTCCAAAATGAATACTATCAGTAATACATTTAAATGAGTGAAACATAAAACTTGAATACAAGGATTTCATGAAAATGACTGCTTAATACATTAACTTTTGTATAAATTAATCATGAAACAACTTTCCCTTTAACATGTTTAACATTTGTTCAATACAAAAAAATGTTAAGTATTTTAGTAATTTTTCCAATGCTAACCACATATATAGCATTATGATCACTTAAGAATATGATAAATGAATAACTTATTTATATCTCAAAAATTAAATTCCATGTTAGGAGTGTCCACAATAACAAAACAATTTTTTTTTACTGGATCTGCGAATTATTAGTATAGATAAGGAAAATGTGGCAGATAGTGGTAAATAAACTGCTCAAGGTCACAAAGCTACTAAGCATCTGAAGCTGTATTTGAATTTAGGTCTGACTCCAGGTCGTGAATCCACTGAACCATCTAGATGCTACTTACAGATTCGTGGGAGGGCACAAAGAGGAGAAGTTACTTAACAAGGGTTACACAGTGTGTGTTGGATGTGGGACATGAATTTCAGCGTCAGCTCCAAAACTGCTAGGCCATGCTGCCTCTCAACAAAGTGGCAAAAATTAATTATGAAGTCATATTAATTGTAAACATGCATGATACTAAACACAGTGATGCTGATGAGAATTTATTTGAAGATTCTTGCACTGTAGAACAAGTATCTAGACATAAAATTCCTCTTGATTTATTTTATATTCTAAAGCTGCCAAATTATATTTAGTTTGATGTCAAAAGCACACTAAGATTGCATTTGAGAACTACTAAGCATTGGGGGTCTGAATCTATCCATTTTCTTCTACTTTCCTCCCCCTTCTCTTGCTCTGACTTTTGGATGTCATTTCCTTTTTATGTCTCTGTTCATCCTAAGCTCAATCTTTGTATTTTTGACACTTTCTCAGACCGCAGGCTTTTATTAGGGCAGACAGAAAGGATAGAGTATTTAATATAGAGCTTTATCCTACAACTAAATTCAAGGTGAACCCTGACTTTTATTAGAATTGCTTCTTGCAAATATTTGAGGAAATGTCTCAACAGATCTATTCTTAGGATATTACAAGATAAACTTACTGTGGATTAAAAAACACCCCAACAATTTTAATTAAAACAGTAACTAGAAGATGTAGTACCTCAAAATTATGTCAATAATGTCTATGTAATGAGGTATTTTCACTTTATTGGAATAAGATGATACAGTAACAATGGGAGAAGCAAGTAAACACAGATCAATTAAGAGTTACTATATGGTGCTTTAAAATTTACAAAATAAAAACTAAAGCCTTCAATATAACCTTAAATAAGAACTACAAAATTTGTGAAGTTATCATAAAGCGTCTTACCAAAATCATATCGATAATAGTTCCAGCTTTCATACTGGCCCCTTTCTTGATTATCCTCAAGTCCTTTTTCTCCATATTTATCATATTTTTTCCGAAGATCTTCATCTTTCAATACTTCATATGCTCTATTTATTTTCAAAAACTCCTCATGAGCATTTGGGTTATTCTAGTAAAGAAAAATGGCAGAGAGTGGTTACAAAGCCATGAACTTGGGTTTATCACTTCACAACTCTGCTAGAGATTTTATTCAAGAAGACCTGGAAAAGTAGAAGTATTATAGATGAAGATGAGAAGAGTAAATGAATGAAGATGCCAAAGGTTGAAACCTATTTTTATGTTCTTACAACCGTCACAAAGTATGAGAATGATAGAGAAAAACGAGAAATGTCTACTCTAGCTAAGGGTGTGGTGGAACCAGTTCAAACTGGTTTGTTAACTTTCAGTATGAGCACTTGCACCTTGGAAATCAGCTAACAATCTACAAATCAGAGTTTCACTTATTGTTTTTTAATGATTGTCCAGGCTTGAGAAAGTGATGAGAAAAAGTTAATAATGCCAATTAAGCCTAAAAGTATTGTTGTGTGTCCGTTTTTTTCTTTCCGGAAAGCCAAATGTTAAATATTTACCAGCACATCCCTACCTCTATTTCACTTTCACCTCTGCCACCAAATGTGGCCAAATAGTGTGTATATATAACCTGTAAAAAAAATAATGTGGTCACCTTACCTAAAACCTAACCAAAAATATAAATCACGGTAGCTACAATCAATTATAGTTCACTTTTTTCATCTGACAATGTAGCAAGCTGTGAAAAGATATAAACCAATGCATCTGAGAATTAAAAATAATTCAATATAAGTCTTTGAAATAGTATTCATCAGTGACCAATTATAGAACTTTCTGGGCACAATTTGTCATTTTAATGACACTTTTTACATGGCAGGCCTAGATTAATGGTATAGAAAAGGAGAGAAATCTTTCATTTGAAGACTGAAAAGAAGTAAAAATAAATTCTATTAAAAGAGAAATGACAACAAAAAATCAAATAAAGTAGAATGTAGAACTTGTGAATATATATAATTCAAACTGCCCTGAACTGTTTCACTCTATTATAAAATCAAAATGGCTACCTTTTAAAATGTTCCCAATTACACAGTTCTTTAAAGTATAACCTATCCATGATTTCTTCTTCCTTTCCCCTAATGAAAGATGAAAAAATTTGTCTAGTGGAAGAATTAGAAGTAGTAGATAAATTGTAAATCCACTTTAAATTGTTATTTATTCCTCAAAAATATTTGAAGCTACAGTTTAGGGCATATAATACCCTTAAAATACTTGACTGATACTCAGTTTATAAGTTGTATATAAACTCTTTCAAGTTGTTTTCTCCAAATTGTACCAGAAATAAAGAGCAAATATTCATTATCTATCACTGTTAAGAGCTTCTTCTAAGTAATAATATATTCTCTCTCTCTCTTACACACACACACACGCACACACCATTCTCCAACACAGAAGAGAAACAAATTTCTTTATTTTCTAAAATGCTTTATATAACCAGCTTCCCTTCAACTGCTGCATTACTGCTGCTTTTATATTAATAGTTGAACAAAACTCCTAGATTCCAACACAAATAATATAAGGGGGATATTTTGGCATAAACCATTGAATGTACTTATTAACAGTCCTTCAGCTATTACAATGACTAAATACGTCATCTCTTTTCTAATATAGCAAATGACAAATGTATATTGTGGTCCTAATGTATCAATATACATCACTTGAAATTCTAAATTTCTTATAGGATAAAAAACATTCAAAATGAGCTAAAAGTTTTATAAACATACTATCATTTCAGTAACTTAATCAAAGATGTATAAAAATAATTTGCACCTACCGGGTTTTTATCAGGATGTAACTTTAATGCCAACTTCTTGAAAGCTTGTCTTATTTCCCTACTATTTGCTTCTTTAGATACTCCAAGTAAACTGTAAAAATCCTTATCAGTGTAGACTAAAGCAGTCAGATATACTAAAATTAACAAACAGAGAAAAGTCCTTTTCTTGTCTCTAACATAATCTTTCTTTAACGAGCCTTCCATCATTTTTTCTTACATAAGTTCTAATTCAAGTAAATATCAGGGTATACAGCCAGTTCAGGTTGAACTTTTAATTCTACTTCTGAACTTTGGGAGATGTAGTCCATACTAGTCCATGGATGAAGTTTATAAAAATGGTCTTCTGTAAAAACTGTAACCTGAAGAAAGGAAATGAGGAATTTAAAATCTATTTCAACCACAAAAGTAAGTGACAGAACTTATTTCTTTATCAAACGATGACCTTTTAGATGTACTATATGGCTAATACCTGTCTGTATGGCAAATGAAGTGAATCCCCTAGGCCAGGGGTGAAGAACCTGTAGCCTGGAGGTCACATGTGGCCCTCCACAGGTGTGGCCTTTTGACTGAATCCAAGTTTTAGAGAACAAATCTTTTTATTAAGTGGATTTGTTCTGTGAAGTTTGGATTTACTCAAAGGGCTGCCCTAGAAGACCTAAAGGGCCACATGTGCCTTGAGGCTGCAGGTTCCCCATCCCCGCCCTAGGCTCACTTAAGGGAACAGCTCTGCTTTAGAAACCAGATGGAGTTTTGTAGAGTAACTCAGGGAGTCAAAAGGTGAAGAACAGCTAGTGCTCCCATGAAATACCAAGAATGATCAAGAGAAATCCTACACATGATTTTAACATCTGAATGCCCCAATGTTCTCTAACTTCTTTTCTTTTTCAGTTGATGATCAGTTTAACTAAATTTCACTTTTATCAAGATGTTTCTTAGAAAGTTGGGGAAAAAAGGCTTAATAGAGTAGTTTGTCAGTCCCCTCAACTGCCCAAGAAATTTTGTTCAGTCACTTTAGCTCTGACTCTTTGAGATACCATTTGGTGTTTTCTCGACAAAAATACTGGAGTAGTTTACCATTTTCTTCTCCAGCTCATTTTACAGGTAAGGAAAGTGAGGCAAACAGGGATAAGTGACTTGCCCAGGGTCACACAGCTAGTTAAGTGTCTGAAGCCTGATTTGAATTCATGGAGATAAATCTTCCTGATCTACTGCCACCTAGCTACCCCACCCAAGAAATAGGTTTGAATATATTAATTTTTTAAAAAACATTCTCAATTTACTTTCAGAAGTAATTTACATGCTAGACTACTTTCTCTTGACTTCTTAAGGAAACTCAATTAGTAACTAAAAGTTTAGTGGTTGTGTTATGTTACATACAAACTTCTTGCTTACAAGATGAAACTCGCATCCCAATCAAAGGCATTTACAATCTGATATAGCAAAAACAACTTCACTTTGATAACAGTATATTCAGAGTAACATACTTTAGTCACAAGGTCTTGAAAAACCAATAGACTTCTTGATTACATATATTTGTTATAAGGGGTTTGCCCTTCCACAAAAGTGGAAGATAAAGTAAATGCTTGTTAATTGACAAGAGTAAAATAAGTTACCAATTAATCAACTGATAAACATTTATTAAGTGCCTACAATTTGCCAGACATTGTTGTTACATTAAAAGTGCTTCAGACACTTATTAACTGTGTGACAAGGGACAAAGCATTTTACCATTCTCAGCTTCAGTTTCAATGCAGATAATGATGGCATCTACCTCACAAGGTTATTGTGAAGATCAAGGTAGAAAACATAAAGTGCTATCTAAATGCTAGCTATTATCATCATCCTCACAAAAATCAAACAGAGTATTGTCAATTTCAGTCCCTCTTCTGGTCTTTTCCATTACTTAGTCTGGAAAGTAGAGGACTAACAATTCACTTAGTAGCTGTGTGGCCTTGGACAAGCCACATAAACTGTCTGATTTAGTTTCTTCTTAGCGATAGCACCTACCTCACTGGATTGTAAGGAAAAAATGAGATTAAAATCTGTAAAGCCCCATGCAAACCTTAAAGCGCAATATAAATGCTAGCTATTTTTAAATGCTAGCTATTTTTAATTTATTTTTTTAAACGTGTATTTGTGTTACGTTCCTTACCTGTTTGTTACTGGTCCTCGGCTCTAATCCATTTCCTCCCTTCTCCCCCCATGCACAGTCACACAAGCTAGGAATAAATAGTGAGGCTGGAAATATGCCAAGAAAAAAAAAACAACTAATTACTAAAACTGAAAGAACCTGGACTCAGGTACACTGTGACCTCTATTAGCATTCTTGTCCAAATCTCAGTCCCTGGGCCGGGTGAACCTGACTGCAGCAGGTTGCAAATCTATCATCAACTAGGAAGGATGGAGCCAGCCTCATTGCTTCCCCCACCCCCCTCTCTCTGCCAAGGACAGGGGAAGTCAGGCTGGGGAGGGCTGCGGGGAAGAGGGTAGGGATGGAGACTGGGAGATGCTGGCGGGGCTGGCCAGACTCCCGGTCCGGAGACAGTGGGCAGTGGGGACCCCGGGCGGGCCCGGAGGCGTGGGAAGCATGCTAGGAGGGAGGACGGGGGAGGAGACCCCGGCGGCTAGGGAAGCCTAACTTTGGACTGCATGGGGATGAGCGGAGGCCGGCGAGGGTATGGGACTTGGAGGCAGAGGGCCGAGAAGATAAGGCCGGCAGCCGAAGGAGGGGAGGAGGCTACAACTTGCGCATCACCTTCCCAGGGATCCCGAGCCTCCTCTGGCCAAGTCGCGCCGCTCCGCCCCCGGGCAGTTTCAGGCCCAGGATGCCCTCCCGGGGGCCGGGCGCCTCCGCCTTTATCCCCGCCCCGATGGCCCCGTCCCGGAGCGGCCCCGACCTCCCGCCCACCCGCCCGGGGCCGGGAGGACAAGGGAGCTGGTGGGATGGGAGTCCGCGGCGGAGGGGGAGAGGGGGGCAGTACGTACTAGTCCGACCGCCGCCCGGCCGGCGTCGGGAGCGGAGCCGAGGGGGCCGCAGGAGGAAGCCAGAGGAGGGGAAGAAGAGGAAATGGAGGAGGAGGAGACTAAGCCCCAAGCCAGCGGCCCTGTCCGGACTCGGGGCAGGGCAGGGCGGGGCGAGGCGAGACGAGAATGGGGGGTGTGGCCTGGCAGGCCCGGCAGGCCCGGCGCGGAGCATTGTGGGAGAGGCGCTGGGGCGGAGGAGAGGAGGGGGCGGGCCGTGCCGGGATTCGGAGAGACGCTGCCGGCTCGCCGCGGCTGACGTGGCCGGTTCCGGCTCCGGTTCCGGCTCTGGCTCCTGCTCCGGCTCCAGCCCCAACCCGGATCTCAGAAAGGAGGGTCGATCTGTCCAGGGCCCGGGCTGTTGTGAACCAGAGGCCCGCCTGCGCTGCTCCGCGACGGGGAAGGCGGAGCCTGGCTGCCCCCCCCCCCCCGTCTCCATGGTGACTCAGAAGCTAGGGGAAGGGATGGGGAGAGAAAGGGAGCACGACCTGGACTGGGGAGCTTCCATGCCTCTCCGCTCCCGGGACGCAGTCTGTGCGAGAAACAGAATGGGACGAGGAAGGAGGCTTTCTTGCGAAGAACTGCTGCCCAAAGGAAACCTGCTGAAGCTTTTGACACCGCTTTGCAGGGATCCCCAGGGAGTGCTCAGTGCTGATTATGAAGGAACATAAAAAAGACGTTCTCCCTGCCTTTGAATAGATTGCCCTCCATAGCTGGAATTTACTCCTTTTACATCCCCTTTTCTCCCAGTCCCTAGTTTACACTACAGATCACTTCATGCTTGACCTTGGCTTTCCTGGCCACTCCTTCACTTTCCACCTACACATGTCTTGAACTTTTCTGGTCTCCAAATTACTTAGTATTTCATATGTATTCACGTTGCCCTCTGATAGTCATTTCTTATTCTTTGAAATCTGTTAAATTCTATGCCTTATCTCTGCACACTAGCTAGCCCTGTGATTTTCGTTAAATCACAACTTCTAGTTTTGTCATCAGTAAAAGGAAGAAATTGGACTGATTCATATCTCATAATCATATAAACATTTTGTGGTTTGTAAGGCTTGCCGATGTTGCCTCCTTTCTCAAACTGCCACCTTCCATTCTCAAACACGTACCTATCCTCCTTACCCTTCCCGTGTAAGACTCCACCCTCCTTTTCCTTTGTGCTCTAAGGAACTTCCCCCTAACCTTGTGTTTAAAACAAACAAAACGCTACCCTTTGTGTTTAGCTTCTTTCACTTCTCTTTATCTCTCACTTCCGTATTGCAATCTACTAAAACTGACTCCTTCCAGAAGATAGGCATCTACCCAAAAGCAATCTAAGAGAAGAAAAGGACTTACTTGTACAAAAACATTTGACCTTGTTGTTTGTCCTTCGTTTTGGAAGAGGACAATGACATCTGGAAGGTGATGCCACCTTGCAAGTGAATTGGATTTAAGTGAGGGAGGGCTGTGCAGTCACCAATCTCACTTTCTCCTCCGGAGCTATCTGGGTCCAGTGGCATGATATAGATCAGGAGGACTGGAGATGGCCCCTATTGTCTAGTGCCAGAGTTAGTGCTGAGTAACTAACTGTTTGCTGATTAATGATCATCATCATAAAAGTTCATATTTAAAGAGCTTTGAAGTTTGCAAATATTATCTCTGCACCACCACTTGGAAATATTCTAGAGCTGATTCTTGTATGGTTTAGAAAAGGTCCCTTTCCATTCCAAAATTCTGTTGCTGTTATTAAAAGTGATGAAATAACTAAAATTGGAGACAACATGTTTTGTTTAATCACATCCACAATAACATTTCAAATCTAATTGCAAAGAATTGCAATATGGATAAAATGGTGAAAACTATTGCCTTGAGTTCAGCAACTTGTGATGAAATATGCCACATAAGGCTTTCACTGAGGAGCTTGCCATATGAAGCTAGCAATTCTGATAGTGACCTCATTTCTAAGAAAGAAGAATAATTGAATTTGTAGAAAAATAATTGAATTTATTTACTTGGGAGTTGAATCAAATTATTTTATTTTTTAGGCAGTTAGGCTTAAGTGACTTTCCCAGGGTCACACAGCTAGTAAGCATCAAGTGTTTGGTCTGAGGTTGGATTTGAACTGAGGTCCTCTTGACTTCAGGGCGGGTGCTCTATCCACTTTGCCACCTAGCTGCCACCTAGCTGCCCCCTAAACCAACTTATTTTAAAAGTAAACTGAACACCACAATCAATACATGGAAAAGGAAATCACAAATGCACAAATCAGAGGAAAGACATTTCTAAAAAGCATCCAAAGGTAACCCACAAAGGATACAGGTAATTCTACAAAGCCAAGATTTTACTTAAAAGAAAATGACTCCAGTTTGATATTGATTTTCTATTAAAAAAAAAACCTAAAGAATTAAGACTACAAAAAATAACATGAAATTTTCAAACAAGTTCACCTCATATGTCTGAATACTCTTCTGCATTGAAAGTCAGCTCATTTTCTGTGGGCGAATTCACAAATGCTTTCATTGTTGGAAAATAAGCTATAAGGCTGTTGCTGACTTGTCTCAGCAAGGTCTCCAAATACCTAAAGAGAAGCATATGATCATTATGGAAAGAGAAAAATCAAAGCAATAATTCAAAACTTGTTATAGGATATGCCTTGAGGCTTCAACTTCAGTGGGACTTTTATAGATAACCTATCTTTATTTTCTTCAACATAAAAGGGAATGTTATTATACACAAACATACCCTCAATTTAAGGTCTTACCAATTTGTGTACAGGCTTGTAATGATTGGCTCTCCATGACTGTCTAAATGTTGTGTTTGCTGAAGAAGAACATTGTTAAATACTTTTGTAATGTCAATTTGCACATAATTTTCTTTTGACTAAAATACTGTCATATATGCCATTACACTTGTTTACAGCTCTGAAGGTTTTTAAATTTCTTTTGTGACTTGATTATACATTGTCATTCCCATGTTTGACTTAGTTTTAAAGCAAGTGAGTAGATCCAGCAGAACAATTTTTGCTATAACAGCATTGTAAAAATGAACAATTTGATTCAAGAATTTTGATAAACACCATAATTCTGTATGACCAGTGATGAAGATTGCTACCATTCCTTGACTGAAGCAATGGAGAATGAAGTAAATTTATGCATATGGGCAATATGGGAATTTGTTTTGCTTGACTAAACAGTTATTACAAGTTCCCTCTCCTCCCCACCATAGGGAGGTAAAAGGGAAAAAAAATGCTTGTTAATTGAAAAAATAATCATTTAAAAAAGATAGTTTATTCCTGGCTCCTCTCTTCAGAACAAGATGTATTTTCTTGTCTTGTGATATACTACTGGGTCAGAAGGAGTAACAGGCACGCTTTTTCCTCTTCACTGCCACTTCCTATTTCTCTTATATCTCATTTGGGGTTCATTCCAGGTATCCCTATGTAGTTCCTGGTGGCAAAGTGGCTGTTATTTATTGATGTCCTTGTTATTATTCTTTTCTCAAGGAGTTCAGCATTAATCTTAGTCTTCCTCTCTATTCTGATCCCTACCCTGACTTCTTTATAGATGTTGCTGGCCCCTCAAACTCCTTGAATAGCCACGTCATCAATCTTGTCTCCTATGATTTGTACCCTCACTGTATTTCAACCACATACAGATGTGGTCGTACCACATAAGTATGATATTGTGAATAAAGTGCTAGACTTGAAGTAAGGAAAACCTGAGTTTGGATCCTGCCTCAGTCACTTAATGACCATGTGACCCTGGGCAAGTCACTTAAACTTTGCCTTAGTTTGCTCAACTCTAAAATAGGAATGCCAATAGCACCCACCTTTTAAGGTTATGAAGATCAAATGATGTGTGAAGAACTTTGAATATCTTAAAGTGCTACATAAATGCTGCCTATTATTATTAACTACTATGATTATTACACCCTGTGTCTCATAATCATAACTGTTTGATCTCCATGATCCAATTCTTTTTCAGACCATAAATCTTACTAACTCTACCTCTGTGTCCTAAATCTATTCTTTGTCCTCATTGTAACTTCTCTTGTTGTGTTCCCAGTTCATTAGCCTTGTTCTAGCCTCACTTTCCCCCCTTCAAATCTTGATCCATTCATTTTTATAGAGCTCTTGACCCTTGAATCCCCTGCCCTCTTGTCCAATCCCCACCATCTCTTTGAAAATATCAGCACTGAGTTACCTGTCTGTTTACCTTGGACTGTCATGATGCTGAGTGCCACTGGATGTTGCATAATATATAATATGTTTATATAAAATATATTTATTATAGTTTCAACAAAAATTTGTTACAATCAGTCCTCAACTTTTGTGTGGTAATGTTCCTAGAAAACTGAAAGTAAAAACATAAATGTTGATACATTGAACCTAAGGGAAAAAGGGAGTTAGGTTCCCTTAACTATTAAAAACTGTGATCTTTCTTGAGAAATTGTTGAAAATACAGTTTTCTGCATATAATTCTTTTTTAACAAAATATTAGTTTTGATAATATGTACTTTTCCTAACACAGTAACCATGAAATAATCTATAAAATGCAGGGGAGAGGAAAGGTAATGAGGTACTGGGATGGGTAAGGGCTGAGGCAAAAAAGGGAAAGGGGCAGCACCTGCCATCTCTAATCCCCCTTTCAGCTGAGTGGTTGAACTGTTCCCTCATGAAAAGCACATGTTTGGGGTGAGTCTTAGTGGGTCTGAGAGCTCAGACCTTGGATTGAGGCACTTAGCCTAACCTGGTGCAGCAGGCCACTGTTGCTACATGTTGCTCTGCTGCCCTTCCAGGATGCTCAGGACCCCAGTGGCATGGACAACAGTAGAGATGGAATGCAAGCGTCAGTAAAAGGATTAGGATGACTGCTATCTCATTTACCCACAGACTTAGCCACTTTTCCATTTTTTTTCAATTTCCTAATCACTTGAGAGGTTACGTTAACACTTTCTGGAGGGGATTCATGAACACTTCTGCGAATACTTTCCTCCTTTTTGCTGATATAAATTTGCACATGGCGCCTCTCATTTTTTTTTCTTCTCTACTGTGCATAGCCCCAAATGTGTGGTTGCCAATGGGAAAGTGAAAATGAAGTT